TATGTCAAAGATTTCTGATCAAAGCTCCAGCTTAAAGTATAAATTGATCATATTTAACATATTTTATAACCTGGGTTTGTTTTGCAGGTAAAAATGTTCAATAGTGTGAAAGAAAATGAGAAACTCTAAAGAAAACAGTTTCAAAGACGATTCCTGACTTGTGTTGGTTCAGACCCAAATGAAGGTTCTGGAACCTGGTCCATGTCACACAGATCCAGAACTGATCCATTTAAATGGATCTGAACCCATCAGAAGTGCTGATGGAGCTTTACTGTTCGGGCTGGGAGAGTCGCTTCACCTGCAATGAGGAATTGATCCCAATCGACGGATTTATTGATGAGAAGGATATCCTGAAGAAACAATTAGGAGAGCAGAGTAATGATCAGAGAAAAATCTCTGCAGCTATTTAGCCTCCCTGTCATCTGCTGACGCTGTGGACCCGATCGCAGTTAGAGGCAGAACATCTGAAGGTCTTTAAATGTTTGAGCTCAAACAGCCAAAGGCAGAAAATCGGACTTTAAATCAGAAAAAGACGCATTTCTGCATGACTTAATTCATTTTTGAGAATCTGAATGTGTGTGTGTGAGGAGCGAATGAGCGTCTCCTGAACATAAAGGTGTGTGTGAACGTTGACATCACATTGAAACGAGCAGAAAACTTCCCTTCCGGTTTGGGCCTCCATGTTGGATGGCGCTGAGCAGGTGGTTTCTGCTCCAGGTCACTTTCTCCTCCTCTTTTCCCAACATCAGCACCACCTCCACAGTCACATGACCTGGGCTGTGTCATCACTGAACACACACACACACACACACACACACACACACACACACACACACACACCCCACACACACACACACACACACACACACACACACACACGGCTGTAGCGTAAACGGGTGGCGGTGAAGGGAGGGGAGTGGATCTGGGCGGAGGAGCATCACAGGGTGACGTCACGTCACGACCTCCTTCCCAGCATCCCTCTCTGCCTTGGTCCTTCCCATAACACACACACACACACACACACACACACACACACACACACACACACACACACACACACACACACACACACACACACAGTAGCTGTGTGTGTGTGTGTGTGTGTGTGTGTGTGTGTGTGTGTGTGGGTGTGCTTCTTCACAATCTGCAGCATCATTTTTAAAGGAAGTGGCTGCCGAGTCACAGAGGCTCTGATAGGTTCATGTTTGGGGGTGAGAGGGGATCCCGTAACCCCACCCCCCGCCCACACACACACACACACACACACCCACACACACACACACACACACACACACACACACACACACACACACACACACACACACACACACACACACACACACACACATTCATAAACACACCTGCTCCAACATCACCACCTTCAATGAAAGCTGCTCTGCTCCTCCATAAAAAGCTTGTATGAAACATGGCGGCCATTTTGGGGCCAAACTGTTAGCCTGTTAGCTTTATTTCTGCACGCAGTTTCTTTCACATGCGTGTGAATTTAGACATGTGTTCTTCTGTTAGCTCCTCCCTGTGAGCCGGAGCCGCCATCACCGCCGGCGCCTGACCGCCGCCACAGCAAAACAAACTGCGCCACTTCCCCCCCAGCCCCCCCACTGCAGAGGCGCTCTGACATCATCGCGTCCTCACAGCCAATCGTTTGCTGCTTTTATTTTAGGCAACATCAGTTGGATAGTGGCAGGAAGACATGTTGGGATTTCTTTCAGACGAGTCGTTGGTAAAATGAAAGTGAATTTTGTCAACGGTTCCTGTTTTACAGTGTCGGTCCGGTTTGTGTCTGAAGCAGACAGACAGAACCGTGATGCTTTCTTTCTCCTTTCAGGCATGAAATCATGAAATCAATTCTGCCTTCCTCAGATTATTAGCATCATGAAACTGTTTGGTCCATCAGAAAAGAAGAAAGATTCTCTTTGCAAACAATAAAACACTAAAAAAACGGTTTTGGTTTTAAAATCCAGATGAGGAACTTTAAAAGGAAAGTCTTCCTTATAACAGTTGTGCTGTGGGGAAATGTGAAGAACGTGGATTTTGATCACTGGAAAAGATGGTCTTGAGAAAACATCTGCTGCTCTGAAATCTTTGCCGAAGACCCTGATACCATGACAGCCAAATAAAAACCTCAACACAACACCTGGATGCAGACCAATAATGGAACCACATTCCATGAAAACAATGATGCAACTGCACCAGAGCCTGCACCAAGGACTTTCTGCTCCGTTTCTGCAGATCGAGAATCCTGATCCGTCTGATCACAGTCACATTCCCTCTCAGTGAGGATCTGAGGGAAATCCACTGTGACGCTGCATCCGAGCAAAACTCACCGCAAAAGTTTCCAAAAGTCGTCGTTTGTCCAAGAAATATGAAAACCGCTTCCACTGTTTCTGTGAGAAACGAGTTCATCACATTTTTCTCTGATTCATCCACTTTTCTGAATTACGTCGAGATCTTGGTTTCTGAATTAGGTTGAACTTTTGTCCGTTTCTTAAAACACTTTTTATTTGCATCTTCTTCGCTGTTGTTGTTTGAGCTTCTAAAACTGTAATTATCACCGGAAACCAAGATTTGTACCCAAAGAACAACTTCTGTTGTGTTTGGTTAGAAATGTTGGGTCTTTTAACCAAAATCTAAACACCAGTTTAGATTTTAGAGACATGTAAGAAATGGGAACAAAGTCCCACCTGCTGTGAAGAGTAAACATTTCTGTGGGATCAGGGAGCCGCAGGCAGCAGCTGCAGACTCTCAGCTCCTCCATCGCCATTATTACCATAATTTGTGGTGGGAAAGGAATCGCTCATCAATCAGAAGCGTTGAGAAAATGACCATGTCAAAGAGCCGAGGCCTGATGTTTGAGCAGCGGCCTCGCCGGGGTCACCCCGCTCCCTCGGTGTGTGTGTGTGTGTGTGTGTTTTGTCATTAATCACTTCAGGTTTGAAGAGAACGAGGGACGTCACAGCCTTTATCCCTCCACACTCTTCATCCTCCTCGTCTGCCTTCACGGCCGGCGGCCTTCGCACCCCATCTGACCATCGCTCTGAGGCCAAGGTCAAGCTCCCTGCAGCCCCTCCCCCCAGCACCCCATTGTTCACCTGTTGTCCTGGAGACCCGACCGTCTCTGCCACCACCCGTCTGCTGTGTGACGGCAGAGATGATACCACAGAACATCAGCATGCAGAAGAACAGACGGATCCACGTTTCCCAGGCAAATCAAAGCTTCTGATTCAAAACTGGGTCTTTAAAGGGCAGGACTATGAATGACAGCATCATTTTATAGCACAATCAAGTTACTGTTACCTTCAGTTATAAATTGCTCAATACATCACATATGACTATAAAAAATGACTTTGTAGTAACTCCTTGAATTTGAGCCTCTGTCTCTTTAAGAAGCTTCTGCTCTTTCTGAAGCTCCACCTTCAGGAAGTCACCCCAACTTGGCTCCTCTATCAACCCTTTAACTACATTCTTACCAACATTGCTTTGAGAAGCAGCTCCTACAACGAGCTCAGCAGTTCCACCACCTGGCTGCTAATTGCTGCTGGCTAGTCTGAAGGAACTGGGTGGGGGAGGAGCTGCGCCTCGAAGGCGGAGTTAGGTCCACCGAGAATCAAAACAACACTCCAGGTTTTTTTAGATGACTGACATCATAACAAGATGAAAAAGTTGATTTTACACGTTACTGGCCCTTTAAATCTGGCAGGTGTTGCTCGTGTTGACAGTGTGACGCTGGGATCCATGAAGAAGCGGAGGATGACCTGCACACGTTATCTTTGATCACTTCCTGTTTAGCTTCCACTCTGACTGTCCTTCTGCCTCCATCCTGCCCCGTTCCTCTGCATCTTACCCTGAGGGTGGAGTGGGGGTAGGTTTGGGGGGTATTGGGAGGCCTGGGGGGCGGCCGGCCGGCTGCTGGAATTTGAAGTGAGAGCTTGGGCCGACCCAAATGACTGCATGCACAAAAAAAGGATTTAACTCTTTGTCCCAATTGCCCTGCTAGAAAAAACAGCACAAGACCCTGAAACAGCCCCCCCCCATCCCACCCTCAACCATGACCCACTCACCCCCTGTTCCTGCCCCACCCCCCCCCCCCCCCCCCCACCTTCCCTCTGGCCCCTACCTTCCTCCTGACCCGGACCGCCTGCACAAAAGACCCATCAGAAGTATCACTGGCCACATTTACAAGTGAAAGAGCCGCAATAATGGAGCGGTTAGCGAGAAGAATGACGAGACAGAGGGGCTCTCACAGATGTGAAGGTGGGTGGAGCGGGGGAGGACTGAGCAGCGTCCCATTGTCCCCCCAACACTCCCAACACCTCTGATGGAAGACAGGAAGCGGCGAGGAATTAAAGACGGAACCGGGCTGAAGTGGGTCTGGAAAATGTATTTTTTCTGTCCAGGTTGAGAAAAGGAAGAGAAACTTCCAGAGCAGGTCGACTCCCTGCTGAGAGCGTGTGAAAATCAACCAGAGGTCACCGAGGCGTGTGTGTGTGTGTGTGTGTGTGTGTGTGTGTGTGTGTGCGTGTGTGTGTGTGGGGCAGTCAGCCTATCATCAGCTGGGTGTGTTTTATTGTTGTGAACCGAGATGGTGACACATAGCAACAGCAGCTGGGGTGAGACCTCAGAGCTGACCTTTGAACCCCTCCTCTTCCTCGGACCGCCCTGTGTGACGGCGGCGGGCGGAGGCTGATGAAGTCATCACCGCAGGATGGAGAGGCCATGTGGCATATATAGGAGGCAGCAGTGACTTCCTGCAGGAAGGAGGACGACTCCGAAATGTCCACTGGGATGGAAAACCGGGATGAGTTCGCTGGTGAGTCTGGCGCCCCCTAGTGGCCACAAAGTACCGGAGTCTGAACTCTGATACCAAGTTAAAACTAACTTTTGGTATTTTTTTTTTCTAATGATATTATTTTAATGAAATCAGTCGGATTTCTGTAGCCAAGGATTGAGTAAATAACTGTAGATATAAAACAAAAACAGGATATGAATCAGTTTTGCTTTATTTTGCAAAGTTCAAAATGTCTTTTGCATTTTAGCGAAGATGCTTTTGGATCTATACAACTAATAAATGAAATGAAACTGAAAGCAAAACCTGAATGAATACTTTATGTTGCACCTGACATTTCAAAGCGTGACCAAACATGGCCCCCGGACCGCACTTTGGAAACATTCTGTTCTCAAACGATGATTTATTTAAGACACTGAAGAATCATTTCCTTCTACACTCAGTTCTGAGCTGTAAACGGTTCAATCAGAAGGAAACACACACACACCCACACACACACAACAGATCAGAACGGGCAAGCATATGAACAAAACTGACAGGTAAACTCTTCCTCACCTCATCTTCCACTTTTGGCACAAAAAGGTCTTTGCTGCCCTCTGCTGGCAGAATAGAGATGAGCTCCTAAACGTTTGAATCCTACTTGAGGTATTCTATGGAAGTCCAAAAGGGGCAAAATTAAATAAATAAATAGATCATAGTTTATGGAGTAGACAATTGAATATTTAATTAAATCATTAAAATGCAAACTCATGATAGCCGATACACATTTTTAAAAATGCATTTAATTATTTCATTTAATTGTTTCAATCTGCAGCCACAGTGTTTCAAATCACCATGAAATAATTATTGTAAGTTTGCATTTGTAATGATTTAACTACATTTAAATTGTTTCTAAAAAATATTTAATTACATTTAATTAATGATTTGTTTATTTATTTAGTTAGTTTTGTCCCTTCAGGTTGTGACAGAGTATTAGAGCCATTGAACATAAGAAAAAACTAAAAATAATAAAACTTCCCATTATCATAAAAACATGCAAACTCTCTGATGTCAAAAATTCATAAATCTTAACTAAGAAGTGGTCAATTTTCCATGACTAAAGACATACATTTAAAACAACATAAGTTGGATATTTTTTGACTTTGGAAAGTTAGAAAATTGTAAAAAAAAAAGACTCAAAATGATCAAAAAATCTTTTCAATCAAAACTTTTGTCATTTTTTTGTCAGAAATGCCTGACTTTATAATCTTTAATAATATAATATAAAGGTATAACTTTAATAATGGACAATTGTTATTTTTTGCAAACTTATTCCTTTTGGCCATGAGACAATTTCCAAGTTTTTTGTTGTTAATATGAGAAATTAATCTAAAAAATGTTTGTACTCCTTCTTGGGAAATTATTATTTTATCTTCGACGTCCCGAATACGCCGTCTCATTTCTTCATCTGAATATATTTGGCTCATTCGTTTCCCTCCATCTCAAAACAATATTTCACTGCACATCAGTGAAAATCTGAGCTGAAAAACCGTCTTTTGGTTTAAGCATCTTGAAATTAAAACAGTTTCATTAAAATCTCTGATCCCTTTCAGTTTAATAATAACTTATAAAATAAAGCCATAGAGTCTGTGTTCCTCTGCAAAGAAATCAAAAATCTTCACTGAACCCTGTGAGGCGTCTGAAAACCGACGGACAATTTTCCAAAGCAAAAATAATTTAAATAATAAAATAAGTTGATGACCTGAAGCAGCTGCAGCTTTTTTAAGAGCTGTAGGTTTTGACAGTCGTCTCAGGTTTGGTCCTCGGTAGAAGTACGACGGAGTATTAGGAGAAAAAGGAAGAGTAAATGTCTGCCAAAAAAATTAGAAATTTTGACATTAATTTTAAAAATTTTCTAGAAAGAACAAGATTCTGAGCTCCAAAAGTAAAAAATGTTTGACCTTTGAGACTCAGACATTTCCACGTTTCTTGTACATAATCTCAGCATTTCTGATGTTTTTCTAGCAAATGTTTGACTTTAGTGTTTCTCCAGAAAATTTCAGAAGTTCATCTGAAAACAATCCCAACAAATTTCTCACTATTCAAAGTGAGAAATTTCCAGATTGTCTATTGAAAATTTATGAGATCGATTTTCAAATTTCTGATTTTTTTCCTGGTGAATTTTTGATTTTTTCTGAAATGAATCTTTAAACTTCAGTTTTTTCCTGGTTCAGACCCAGAAGAGGCAGCAGCCACCAAACCCTGATGCGGTTTGTTTCCTCCTGCTGCTTTCTGCCTTCAGACAGCTTTTCCCTCCAGCTACCCATGAGCATCGGGTCGTCGGTTCAAATCCTGGGTCCTGAAAGCGGATCGGAGGCGTTTTCCTCCCAGTGGAACCAGAACCGTCCGGCTGCGGCTTACAGGAAGAAGCTGATCTTTGCAGCGACCGCCTTGCACCCCGTGGTGGAGAAGTAGTGTCCCTCCGCGGGGTCATAGGTCACGTCTCCTCCCACCGCCTCCACCACGTCGCTACGGTTACAGCTGCCGCGCTGGCAGAGCTGCGCGCGGACGCAGCGCTCCACGTGGGTCCGAGTCAGCGGCAGGAAGGGGACGAAGCGAGTGACCATGTTCTGCTGGACGATGCTGGACAGGTAGAGCCCACCTGGGGAGACAGACGAGTTCAGGACTGGATTCACCATCAGAGTCATTCATTCATTACCCTGATATCAGAAAAAACAACACAGACATGTTGATGTGAACATGTTCAGCTCTGCAGCCATTAATCGTCATGACTTCAGTGAAGAAGCTTCATGTTAAAATGCTGTACCAAAATATCTTGATGGAAAGTTTAATGGAAGAAAAAAGGTGGAGAAGGCATGGATCAACCCTTGGCACTGAGCTGAACATTTCAAATATACAAACAAAATATATTTATTAAAATAGAGGTCAGGTTGTCTCCGTTCACACAGAAGTCAAATTATTTTACCCAAATATGAAAAACATCTGACTTTTTCATGGACGTCTGGAAAAAATGGACCAAAGAAAAACGAATCCAGTTTGTGCCACTAAGTCATTTCAGATAGTTTCCAAAGAGTCTGCAGTGTGAGACATTATGTCATAATCCTGCAGCAGAAGATGGTAAATCTAATAACATTCAAATCTCTGTAGGTAAAAACTTATGAATTATCCAAGTTCAGTAATGTACCAACTTCTCAGGTTGATTTAACTCTTCAGTAACATCTGTTTAAACAGTAAAAGCTGAATTTTGTAAAATCATAAAAAGAGCAGAAAAGCTGCTTCATGCTGCTGGTTTCCATAGAAATGATCAGAATATCAGAACAATTAAAAATGACATCTCTGAAATTTTTATACTAAATTCAATTTCCAGTTTAATATTTTTTCCTCTCTTTCTTTCTTTTCTTAAAAAGAAATGACAAATGGCAGAAAATATGATCAGAAACTATCTTTTTCTGAATTCAAAGTCCAAGAAACAGAAGCTGTAAAACAAGATGTCCGCCGTGGGAGTGATGACATCACTCTGGACTTTGGAAACCCAGAGAGAGGATTGGTGGAAAAACAATCCAGACTTTCCTAAACTAAATCTTCAGAACCCAGTGGTCTGCTGGTTCGTCTCTTACTGGTTTTGTTGCTGTAAACCGACTGCTGGACGACGTCCTGCAGGTCAGACGGTTTGATCTCGTCTCTGTCCCGTCCAGCCAGCCGGTTCTCCAGAACCAGCCGGTGTATCGCCTCCTGTCCTGCGGTGCTGCAGACAAACAGAAACCAGGATGCAGGTGTTATCCCAGAAGGAGGCTCAGTATCCGCTGGTCAGACAGAAACATGAACCCAAAGGTCCGTTCAGCCTCCTGACACGAACCGGGTCGGACACACACTGAACAAACCGCACAACAACGACATCATCAGGCAAAAGGTGACAAACAGCTGGAGACGAGATCGTCAGGGAGACGGCCACACCTGGAACCAACAGTACCACAGAGTATCGGTGCCGCCGCAGGTAGAAACAACGGAGGAGACATTTTTCAACAAAACACTCCAGGAACAAGGACATGTCTGTATTTTCTAGCAAATTTTTCACTTCAAACAGAAATTTCCAAGTTTTTTCTTACAAATTGCTGTAATTAATAAATTTTTTGGCAGAAATTTCCTCCTTTTTTCCATCTACGATGGCACTAATATGCCTGTTAAAAGTCTGTCCGTTCTGGTACAACTACATTACCCATGGTGCATCTGTGTTTCCTTTGCTTGTTATCGTTGCACATAGCTGGGCTAGTTTTTTGATCTCATGTTCCTGTGTTACTGTTGTAAGGAGTGGCGTCTGCGGGTGACATCCACCATCAATCCCTTTTTATCCTGTTTGTGTAAAACCTGTGTGCGTTCTATATGATGTAAGTGTGCCGTTTCATATACGATATTGGTGTTTATGTCGATTGTTAGCACAGGAGGTGGGGACATCCTCGTTTTGGCTGCCGACGGTACAGGAAATTATCTGTAATAGTTCAGGTTGTGCTATACTCGGTTATATATATGTCACATATATATTATTGTATTATTATTATTACGTAAAAGTATTTAACACTAACTTGTATTTCTGACAGTTTTGTCATTAGTGTGCTTACATTTTACCGATGGTATTGTAGTGCCCTCTGAGGAGTTGTGTGGTGCTGCATACCATTCTTTGTCGTATACCTATGTGTAGCCGTTCTTACTCGCATAGTTATTAATGTAACTTTATTGTTTTTCTGTTTCAGATAACCACACACACACACATACACATACATAAAACTCATCTACTGTACCACCTTTCATCCCATATTCATCGATGCTTGTCAGTCTACAATAAACCTTCGAAGCTGCATCTGCGGAGTTGCCTATTCTTCTAACAGAGGAAGATTCAATTGATGAGAGATCTGAATTAGTGCCTGTCTGACGCACACAGAGTTCTTACAAATGGTCCTTCGAGCCGGAGATTTCATTGGTTGAATCAACATCATGGCAACATCACCAGACAACACTCCTGAGGAGAAAAGTCACCAGCATAGTCCCCGTCCACGTAGGAACAGGAAGCTTCCTGGACATCTGGCGGAGTATGAACATGACCTATCTGATCCAGAGGAGTCAGAGTTGTCAACAAGCAGCAGCTCAGGAGAATCTGATAAGGATAACAAGCAACGATGGGACAAAATGGAAGAAGTATGGGGCAACATTCTAGCAACAATGAATCAGATGCAAATCACCATGAAGGAGACCAGTGGTGCATTATCCAGGCGTGTGGATCAACTAGAGAGAACATGTAAGTCATGCAGCCCTCTCTTGCCACACAGTCACACTCAACAACATAACCGAGCAGAATCCCTTCCTGCATTCCAATCACAGCCTAGCGGTGTGAACACATATAGCAGTGACGCCAGGGATCACGCTAGGGATCAGTTGAGCGTTGTGACACCAGCAAGGCAGGACAACAGAACACCTGTAAAACCTACTGAGACCAATACAAGATGCTGCATCATTAGATCCACAGCCAGATGAACTTGCAGCACTGCAGCATGTGTTGCAGTCATCACCTGCGTCCCAGCCTTGGATGAACACAGCCTTCCAGCCAGTAGGTCGGTCTGGACCTTCACCTGTTCTACAGTCGAGAGGCCTTCCGGTTCATCCAGAAATCCAGCAAGCATCGTTGCCAGCTCCACCGCCTAGAGTGAGACATGTGATACAGCCTGTTCTACAACCTGACATCCAAGTAGCACAATCCTGCAGATTAAGAAACCCAAATCATATCAGGCTGAGTCTCTCTACAGGCAGAGATACCATCATCAGCAACTACCAAGCCATGCTGACCAAGTAGACGCTGCATCATCATATAACCCCCCAGCAGCCTCTGCCACACCGCTGTATCAGCCATTACAGGGAGCGGCAGCACAACAGAACTGCAGCCAGCTTTATGCAGCTCCATCTGCTGACATTCCCCACCATTATCCTGTAACATATTCATCACCTCCAGATATATATCAAACTACAACTCCCTTACAGTCGACAGCAGAAGTGAATCAGCCAAACCTGATGGAGATGATTGTGGCAACATCATACGGCATCCCAAAGCCTAGACTGGTTACATTCAAATCAGGCAGAGAGAGTGAATTTGCCTTGTTAAAGAAAGGATTAGACAGCTTACTGGGGCCCCATGCACACCTCACAGAGGACTATAAATATCACATCCTGTTGGATCACTTAGAGCATCCATGTGCTCTACAAGTTGCCAGGCGCTATATTCACGACCGTACTCCCTACACTAGTGCAATTCGAGCATTGGAGCAGAGATATGGACAGCCCGACAGTTAATCCAGAGTGAACTCAGCGCTATCCTTAACTGCTCTCCGGTGAAAGTCGGTGACCCTCAAGCCTTTGAAGACTTCTCCCTGGCAGTGTCTAGCCTAGTAGGTCTCCTCAGTACTATGGATGATGTAGCAGCCAGTGAGCTTCAGTGTGGTTCACATGTAGACAGGTTACTCACCAAACTCCCTCCTAGCTATAGAGACAGTTTCATAGAGTACTGTATCACACGTGGTATTATACATACTGGCAGCAGCCGCACGTACAACATGTACGATCTCTCTGAATGGCTTGAACGGAAGTCCCAAGTTCTTCAGCTATCTAGGCAGGCCATTCATTCACAGTCATCGGATAGACCACGATTGGAGAGAAGTAACTTCAGAATGCCTACAGGGACTAAAGCACCGAGTAAGCTACATCCATATATTATGGCTCAGATCCTGCTCAAACACAGCCAAAGACGGACATTAAGGTAGAAGCTGAGAGCCATTCTTCCCTTCCCAAGAAGAAACAGAAGTTTAAGCCATATTGTCCATACTGTGAAGGAACAGAGCATTACCTCAGTGGCTGTGAGAACTTTAAAAAGCTAGACCTCACAGCTGTCGCCACTTGGCTAAAGGATAAATCTAAATGCTGGCGCTGCGGCCGTAAACACACTCCGGAACAGTGCACTCTGAAGAAGCTTTGCACCAACTGTGGAGAACAGCACTTATTAGTGCTTCATGACCTGGCTGAAGCTAGAAGGCAGGACCCTAACATCCTAACTGTGAGTACTCGTAGAGTATATCTGGATCCTGTCAGTCACTCTGGCCGTGTAATGCTCAAGGTTGTGCCATTCAGTTACACCATCAGAAGACATCTCTAGACACGTATGCTCTCCTCGACGACGGCTCAGAGAAAACCATCATACTCCCAGCTGCAATTAAGTTGTTAGGGTTAACACCAGAGAGGAAACATTATCTCTGCGCACCGTCCGTCAAGATGTGATCCAGATAAAGGGAGGCTACGTCTCATTCCAGGTGTCTCCGAAGGCCCAACCAAAACGGCGTTACAAAATCACACATGCTTTTACTGCAGAACAGCTCAGCTTAGCTGAACAGTCCTGTCCAGTAGAGCTCTTGAAGAAGCGGTATCATCACCTACAACAAGTGCAGCTGGAAGGATTCAACCGGATACAGCCTCTGGTGCTAATCGGTTCAGACAATGTTCACCTCATAACGCCGGTTCGTCCCATCAGGCGTGGTCCAGCCCGTGGGCCTGTCGCTATCTGCACTAAGCTGGGTGGGCCATCCAAGGTCCAACAAGTAGTATGCCTACACAGCAGGGAGACATGCACTGCCTGCATACATCATGCCTTTCTCCTGCTGAGGACCTGTATCAGAATGTTCAACGACTGTGGCAACTGGATGCTCCCATACATAGGTATGAGAAGGAAGTCACACGCTCAAGGACAGAGAAGCCATAACCATGTTTAGAGGCTAAGACCATCAGGATTCCGGTAAATGGCGTGGAGAGATATGCCACTCCTCTGCTGAGGAGGAAAGACTTCCCTCAGATGCACGCCCCTTTAGAAGCAGTTAAAGGTCTGCTGAGGTCCACAGAGCGAAGCTGACTAAACATCCAGACCTGGCCTGTACATACAACCAAGAGATCAAGAAGTTGGTTGATTCTGGTTACGTGACGAAGCTGACTCCAGAAGAGATCAACAATTCTACTGAATCTTGGTACGTACCACACCACATGGTACATCATAACAATAAGGCACGAGTGGTTTTTAATTGCTCATTTGAGTTCCAGGGCACCGTCCTCAATAACTACCTCCTGCCAGGCCCTCCTCTGGGGCCTACACTACTGGGCGTACTCCTCCGCTTCCGTCAGTATCCTGTGGCAGTGAGTGGAGATATAAAGGCCATGTTTCACCAGATCCGCCTGCTCCCTGAAGACTGTCCCCTGTTACGGTTCCTGTGGAGAGATGGTGAAACTGAGAGGTTCCCAGATGTGTATGAATGGAAAGTTTTGCCCTTTGGGACAACATGTAGCCCTTGCTGTGCTACGTTTGCTCTTCAGAAACACGTAAAGGAGCACCAAGACACTCATAAGGACATCTATGAATCCATCCATACAGCCTTTTATGTGGACAACTGTCTGCAGTCCCTTTCTGACCCACAAGAGGCTAAGCTGCTCATTGACAGAATGAGAGAGTTGTTATTACAAGGTGGATTTGAGATAAGACAGTGGGCTAGCAACCTCCCTGCGGTGATTGCCCATCTGCCCAGCACGGCTAGGTCAGACAGTTGTGAGTTATGGTTGAACTTCAAGAGTCTTGATCCGCAGGAATCGACTTTGGGTCTCAGCTGGCACTGCCCAACTGATGTTCTGGGATACAAGCATCGCTCGGTGTCCTACACAACTGTCACACTGCGCAACATTTATAAGGTGCTAGCCAGTCAGTATGACCCATTGGGTTATATCTGTCCATACACCACAAGAGCCAAGCTCATTGTGCAGGCCCTGTGGAATACAGAAAGAGGATGGGATGAGCCCATAGAAGGACATTTGCTTCAGTCGTGGGTCGAATGGGAGGAAGAACTGTCTAACCTCCAACATATCATCATTCCCCGCTGCTACAGTTCTCACAGCATCACTGGTGCTACTAATGAGGTTCATATCTTCTGTGACGCCTCTGAGAGGTCCTATGGAGCCGTTGCCTATTTGAGAGTCACAGAGCAACAAGCACACACTCAACCTCCTTCATTATGGCACGCTCAAGAGTTGCACCTCGAAAACAGGTGTCGATTCCCCGACTAGAGCTGTGTGCTGCGTTGACAGGATCCCGACTTGCCAAAGTACTCCAAAGTGAACTCTCTTTACCTCTGCACTCTGTATATCTGTGGACAGATTCTACAACGGTGTTAAAGTGGATCCAGTCCAGTTCCTGCAGATACAAGGTCTTTGTTGGGACTCGGATTTGTGAAATACAGGAGTTGACCCTCTCAGAGCAGTGGGGATATGTGAACTCTAGTGAAAATCCAGCTGATGACATTACAAGGGGAAATCACTGTCAGCTCACCATCTCCAGCCGCTGGTCACAAGGCCCCCACTTCCTTACACAGACTCCAGACGCCTGGCCGAAACCTCCAACAGAGTCTACAAATTGTGACAGTGAAGAACTCAGAAAGACTGCTTTCTGTAGCTTCACATCCACATCTCACAGTCTACCAGATCCTACACAGGTCACATCGTTAGAGGACCTGATTCTGGCCACCCACCAATCCCTGACTGGGGCGGCTGCTACATCCTTCACTGCTGCTGAGCGTCTAGAGGCAGTGAATCAGCTGCTTCGCTCTGCACAGAAGGATAGCTTCCCAGAAGAGGTCCAAGCCCTTAAAGCAGGTGACGCTGTGCCCTCAAGCAGTCGGCTCAGTGCTCTCTCCCCCTGAATATGACAGCATCAGTGGCTTAATCAGAGTTGGAGGCCGCCTACGACAAGCTATCGATATGGACCCTGATAGCATCCATCCGATTTTGTTAGCACCTGACCATCCATTGACCCGTCTCATTATAAAACACTACGATGCTCAGCTGTTTCACCCGGGTGCAGAGAGACTCTATGCAGAGATAAGGCGCACTTATTGGATTCTCAGAGGTCGGCAGGCCATTAAAAAACACCAGTATCAGTGTGTGGACTGTAGGAGATGGCGTGCTTCACCTGCCACACCAAAGATGGCGGACCTTCCATCAGCTCGTCTGAGACTCTACAAACCGCCATTTTGGTCTACAGGTGTAGACTGTTTTGGACCGTATCTAGTTAAGATTGGACGTCGCAGTGAGAAACGATGGGGGATTATTTATAAATGTCTGACCACTCGATGTGTTCACTTGGATCTCCTCCCTAGCCTCGACACCAACTCTTTCCTGATGTCGTTACGCAGATTTATTGCTCGCCGAGGAAAACCGTACGAGCTATGGTCTGACAGAGGCACCAACTTCAGGGGAGGCCACAAAGAACTTCAGAGCGCTTTTGAAAATATGGCCCCAGTGTTACAACAACGGTTAGCCGAACAGATGATCCACTTTAACTTCAACCCGCCACAATCTCCTCACTTCGGGGGCACCTGGGAGAGAGAAATTAGGTCAGTCAAATCAGCTTTACAAGTTATCCTTAAGGACCAAGTTGTGGCAGAGGAAGTGCTTCTAACAGCTCTCATAGAGGTTGAAGGCGTTCTTAATTCTAAACCTCTCGGTTATGCATCCTCTGATGTGGCGGACCCGGATCCCATCACGCCAAACCTTCTACTAATGGGGCGGCGAGACGCAGGACTACCACAAGTAGTATATGGTCCTCATGATGCCCTATCTAAAAGGAGATGGCAACATAGTCAGGTTATCAGCGACCATTTCTGGAAACGTTTCATCCAGAACTACCTTCCAGACTTCATTTGAGACAGAAATGGAGGACATCTACAGGCAATACCACTGTGGGACAAATAGTAATGATTGTCGATTCCAATCTTCCCCGTGGACTCTGGCCTGTTGGAATCATCACTAAAGTTTTCCCTGGGACGGATGGTGTAGTTCGAGCTGCCGAGGTGAAGGTCAAGGACAGTTTCTACATCCGACCGGTAACCAAACTGGTGGAGCTTCCGGAAGTGCCTGCAGATTCGGATCCTCCTTCGAACTGACAGCCTTTGCATGTGTATTTGCTTACAAATACAGGGGCGGCTGTTAAAAGTCTGTCCGTTCTGGTACAACTACATTACCCATGGTGCATCTGTGTTTCCTTTGCTTGTTATCGTTGCACATAGCTGGGCTAGTTTTTTGATCTCATGTTCCTGTGTTACTGTTGTAAGGAGTGGCGTCTGCGGGTGACATCCACCATCAATCCCTTTTTATCCTGTTTGTGTAAAACCTGTGTGCGTTCTATATGATGTAAGTGTGCCGTTTCATATACGATATTGGTGTTTATGTCGATTGTTAGCACAGGAGGTGGGGACATCCTCGTGTTTGGCTGCCGACGGTACAGGAAATTATCTGTAATAGTTCAGGTTGTGCTATACTCGGTTATATATATGTCACATATATATTATTGTATTATTATTATTACGTAAAAGTATTTAACACTAACTTGTATTTCTGACAGTTTTGTCATTAGTGTGCTTACATTTTACCGATGGTATTGTAGTGCCCTCTGGAGGAGTTGTGTGGTGCTGCATACCATTCTTTGTCGTATACCTATGTGTAGCCGTTCTTACTCGCATAGTTATTAATGTAACTTTATTGTTTTTCTGTTTCAGATAACCACACACACACACATACACATACATAAACTCATCTACTGTACCACCTTTCATCCCATATTCATCGATGCTTGTCAGTCTACAATAAACCTTCGAAGCTGCATCTGCGGAGTTGCCTATTCCTTCTAACAGAGGAAGATTCAATTGATGAGAGATCTGAATTAGTGCCTGTCTGACGCACACAGAGTTCTTACAATGCCGTCGTATTTTACCCTGGGATGGTTGAAAGGCAAACCAAGAAGAAAAAGAGACAAAACTTTGTTGATATTCTGCTAACTTTGAAAAAAAAAACCACTATATCGCAATTGCTTTCTATTATATGAGAAACGTAATTAACATCGCGTGAATAAGTTTGTTCATGTGATAAATTATAAAAAAACATGCAGCACCATCATCCTCTAACTACTTCCTGTCTTCTTCTTCATGGTTTCCACCAGTAGTAACATCTGTTTGTCTGTGTTTCCGTTACAGTTTTACTTTGATAAATAATGAAAAACCACCTCATCCTAGCAGCAAAACTTTTTCACTGAAAGACTTCAGTTTTTTTAATGGGCGTGATTCCATTAGGCTAATTTATTTTCAAGATACCAACTTGTGTAATTTTATGGTGAATGATTGTGGGTCTGGTGTCCAGGCTACCTTATGAAGACGTAGATGGCCTTCCTGTAGTTGGTGCGAAACACGACGTGGGACGGACCCAGGAAGGGCTCCAGGACGTCGATGAGGCCTGCAGGCATCTTCTCCATCTCATCGAAGATGAAGACGGAGCGCCCGCACGCCGTCAGGTTTCCCTTCACCCAGCTCTTCAGCTCCTTCTGCCAGCAGACACACAGCTTCAGAACCAGCAGGTTCTGGGACAGGTAACTAAAACTAACTGAATTAGACAAACACAAAGTCAAAAAGCTAAATTATAATGAAGAACCCAGAGCGGTTCTGCAGCCTTGGCTCAGAGCGACCCACCCGGTATTGAGCGACGCGCTCGGCCGAAGGGAAGTGGAGCGTGGGGATGAACTGGTGGATGAAGGGGCTGCTCATGGCCGAGCCGTACAGGTGGTTCCCCAGCATGGTGCTGACCAGCGTCTTCCCGGTCCCAGAGGAGCCGTGGAAGGACAGAACCAGGGGCCGATCCGGGTTCTTATTGAGGAGAAACCTGGAAACTTCCTCTGCGACCAGGTCCTGGGCCAGGTGCTGACCGAAGACATTCTTGTACAGATCCCACTCCAAGTCTTCTCATCACAACACAAACAGGTTAATGCTTAGACCTGGTATTTATTATTATTATTTAACCTTTATTTTAAATAAAGGTTAAGTAATCAAATACATAAAACCTTATCGGCCAGAATTGTGTCATTTTTATAAGCAATTCAAGCCACAGGTTTTTATTTAGGAACAACATGAAACTAATATTTTAAAGTACTAGATAGACGTGTCACGATTACAAATAATAATAATGTTGTTTTGAGACCATTTGCACAGAAAAACGTTGAGGCAGTTTCCCTCAGTCCAGATGTTTTGTGGGATCCCAGGATCCTCTGGATTCCCAGGATCCTCTGGATTCCCAGGATTCCCAGGATCCCGTCAGACTGACAACCTTCAGTGCTGTTAAATATTGACGTTCAACAATAAACTACTACTGAGGTTTCAGACTGACGAAGCCCCAAAACAAGCAGACATTTTCTGCATGAAGCTACTATAGTTTATGTTTTCAAGTCCGGTAAGATATTTAAACGGGTCTCAGAAGAATCTGACATCAATCTTTCCTCTGTAAAGGAGGGAAACACTCAGAACAACAATCCAAGCAATTTACCCTGAGAGCAGACCAGAAGATGCTAAAATGACTTTTCTGCTAGATCAGAAACAGTTAAACTGTTGTTTTCTAAGATCTGGAATATGAACATATTTGGACAGCAGAGCGGACATGAAACAAATACAATATTCTGGACCAAAGAGCCTCACACTGAATGTGAAGCATAGAGGTGGAGGTGTTATGGTGTGGGGATGATTTCCTGCTGTAGGACCAGAACAGCTGAACATTTCAGAATCCGGAAAACGTGACACCGTCAGAAAAAGACCTTTAAGCTGAAGCAGAACATGACGGCGACCCAAAACACACCGGCGAGTCTTTCTGAGCTGATAGCCGTCCTGCTAGCCGCCTGCTAGCATGTAGCTTTAGCTGTAAACAACATGACCAAACTCACCTCTGATGCTGGGCTTGAAGTCGCAGTCGCAGCTGTCGGAGAAGCTGCAGTAAAGCTTCTGGAAGACGCCGCAGGCCGGCCTGGAGCTGAGCAGCAGCAGCAGCGCCGGCAGGACGGCCAGCATGTTGGTTCCCTACCGGAAACCTCCGCCGCTCTGCGCCGCCGCCGGCCGGCTGTAGTTCCTTAAGGAAACCGGAAGTAATGCAGACGCACCGAACGTGTCACTACAGGGACTACAAATCCCAGAGCGACGCGAAGCAGGACACGTTGGAGGCTCACAGTCCAGCTGAGTTTCAACTTCACTGAAAACTGGAGGTTTTTCTGGGCCATCAGAAAACAAAAACAAAATGTCAGAAATTCTCTAGAAAAAACAGAAAAATTCTGAGTTTCAAAAGTCGGAAATTTGAAATTTCTTTTTAAGAGGACGTTTCAGAAAATGTATAAAAAAATCTGGAATATGTTTTAGATTAAATTCAACATTTCATTTTTTTCTAACATTTTTTTGACTTTTGAAACTCAGAAATTTCAACGGGTTTTTTTTTCTAGCTAATCTCTTATATTTTGAGTTTATTGGCAGAAATATTCTTTTTCCTTTCTAAAGACACTGATAGCCATCACACGATTCTTCCTAATAACGATCCAAACTTTTCCACCTTTCAGCTCTTTGGGAGTCAGCAGAAGAGCTGCTCGTGGTTTTGGTCGCATTTCTTTAGTTTTTTACTACAACTCAGTTCGTCAATAAAATCTACACACTAAACTTTGTAGAGATTTAGTCTGTTTTTCAGGGGTTTGTTCAGTTTTATGGCAATATTAAGAGTTTTGTGTGACTTAATCAGTAAACATTCCTGGGAATTTTCTCCCAATTGACCAAGAAACTGTGATTAACATATCAACACATCGCAAGACGTCTCAGGTTTTCTCAGAGTGTAACATGAGAAATAATTAAAAGAATAAATGGAAATATCCTCGATTGTTTGCACCAAATGAACAAAAACATTGTCACATAAATATAACAATAAGAAAGTTAATATTCTGACTCCAAACCTTTGTTTAAAGATAAAAGCACCCATAACTTGTGTCTGTAGCAATGATTCATTTGTTTCATTTATATCTAAAAATGAAAACACAAAATAAATCTTTGTTACAATTATATTATTGTATAAAACACACAATGTGACAGAAAATCTATTTTTGAACAGTAGAGGGCGCTACTTTCAAACTAATGAACTTTATTTTTTAAATTCCTGCAAAAGAAAACAAGACAAAGATTTTTATCTTTTTGTAAACTGGCAGCAGCATTTTAGAGCAACAGACTAAAAATAATCCAGTGATTCTGGAGGAAGTTTATTAAAACCTTTAACATCCATAACAAAGATGGAGAAAAAAAATAACGCAGGAAACTGTTTTAATAAGGTCAATTTTCAGAGAGGAAAATGTTATTTATTCACAGTTATCACAGTTATAATACAGATAAATATTAAGTGTAGGATTAAATAAGTTCTTTGTACATGTGAATTATTGCAGTCAGAAGCTGCTCCCTCAAACTGATACTACGTCAATAGATTTAATAAAATTAATAGTGAAGATGGACAGACATTGTTTGGTCCAATATGTAATGAAGGTCCAGCCTTCAGGCAGACTAAAGCATTTCTACACTGCAGACAAAGGTTCAGCATTAGCTTCCTGTAGTCCCAACAGAACCAGGATCTGGACCCGGTTCTGTTGGGACGACAGAACCGGGTCATCTTATCTGCAGTTCTCACATTTCACACAGACATTATATTTACAGCCTGCTGCACGGTCTGAAGTCCTGGACTCTTATTCTCTGCTACCGATGGATGATAAAAGGAGAAGATAAGAGTTTGACCTCACAAATTACAGGATTAAGTGTCTTAGTTGGAGTTTTTCAACATAAAAACCCAAATATATGTTAGAAAACACAAAACACATTCATATCACATTTCCTTTCAATAAAAATGTAAATTTAAAGACAATTTGTGCTGTAAACCTTAATAAACTTTTGTTATCAAACATTCATTCTCCTTCAGGTTTATGTCAGCGAGGTTCACATAAAAATGCTTCCAACTGTATAATCTGTTACATTTAAAGTGTATTCAACCCCCAAAAACACATTTTTTGCTGATAAACTCTTTAAATATATTCTCACGGTTTGTATGTAAAGTTTCTATGCGGATTTAAAATGTTTTTGGATAAATTTGTTCAGTTCTGCAATGTTTGGAGAGCGACACTGGCTCAGTGCTGCCCCCTTTGGGTTGAACTGTGGTCACTGCAGTTTAATTTTCTGATTGGTTACATTGGTGCATTTTGGTTTAGTTTTAAAATGTAAATACTGCATTTTAAAACAAAAAGTTTTAAAATGTTTATTGCATAAACTTTTTTAGTTTATGCAATAAATTACAAAGACATATCAAAACAACCAAAATAATACAAAAAAATCCATTTTGGTTACTGAAGTAACATAAAACTGATATAAGTAGTTACAAACCAATAAAGATATTTAAAAACAGTTCTAAAAAATTAATGTTTCTACAATAAATTGTCCCGTTAACTTTTTGTTTTCTTCTGGAACCTTTTCAGCTCAGATGACGTCTGTAAGTTTCTGAAATGTTTGTGTTGCCAATCAAATTCGCTCTTTAGAAATGCCCACATTGAGACGCCCTCAAACTTTTCTGCAGTTGTCAGGGAGCGTGTTGATGAGGGTTAGTTGCACTTTAAAGTGATTTGAATGGATGTCAGAGAATCCACCATTAGAAGCCAGCTGATCAGCTAAACGTCTCTGGGATCAGCGTTGTCTGTTCGGCGGTTCCAGCCGGTTGGACAAGGCGGTCAGCACCTGGTCGAACTTGGAGTATCTGAGGATCTGGCTCTCCTCGGCTCCCCTGCTGCCCCACAGCAGCCTCATCTGGAAGTCAGTGAGGAAGATCTCCCTGACCTCCGCCTGCTCCTGGAAACCTGGAACATCACGGTTCACCATGAGCTCACGTCGGTCACAACCGTCTGGTTTCACTTTGACACTTTGAGATGCTGCAGCCACTGAGAGGAACTCAGGGTTTCCATATTTTATGTTAAAAAAAATTCAGATTTTTTTTTTGTCTTTTGTTATGCTTGAGCAGACATGGAAAATGTCTGCTCATGCATACATTGCTTGAGTATATGCTCAAGCAAAATACTGCTTATTTGCAGGAATACTGATTTTTGCCTCGACTACACTTTAGTTTTTGTTCTGATTTTGAAAAAAATATGCATCTGTAGGTGAATCCCATCGGTCAGGTTTAGTCCACTTTAATCCACCTCTAGTTTGTTCGCCTTGAAGGTCCAGTTTGTTTTTGCAGGTGTGAAAACCGAATTGAACCAAAACCATCAAACTCTGGTTCGGTTAAAATGCACCTGTGAACATCATGGCTAAAACCTGACATAACTCCATTTTTGTTTGCATTTTGTGAAGAAGGAAGTTGTGCTCTGTGTCTTTGTCAGTAGTTCTTGGTGCAGCGCCCCCACAGGCGAGGAGGGGAACAGGAAGGTTGCTCAAAGGCTTTGGTTGGTTTGACTCAGTGCAGTGAGAAAGAAGCACAGAAGCTGGAAATGGAACAAATTTAGCACCTAGTCAATCAGATTAGCAGGTGTGAAAATGGCCTGAATTGCTTTTGGGATTCCCATTAAATTATGTAATACTTATTCAATGCCAGCAGGTGGCAGTGATGTCCACATTAAGTACATCAACAGAAGGAGAAAATGAGCATGACTAAAGCAGATCGAGGCTGCAGGTTTGCTTAGGCTGCTGCCTCTGTGACCCGACCCGACCCGACCCAGTGGAGGTGGCAGGACCAGAACTCTCCAGGTTCTCACCCTTTAATTTGCTCTTGGCGTTGGAGTGATAGATCCCGCCCAGCTGAGCGATAGTTCTCGCCGCCGTCAGGTGGAGCATGACCACCTCCACGCCGACCTCCGCCGTCTCCCACGGCTCCGACGCCTCGCCCACCGCAGAGCTTTTCTCCAGCAGGGTGAGGAGGGGCAGGACGTGGGGGAAGGTGGTGCTGGACAGCGGACAGCTTTCTGCAGGACAGACACACCCAGAGCGTCAATGCATAATTCTAACTTTACTTCACAGAGTAAAAGAAAAAATATATCTATATTACCTCGTCCATCATTCAGGCTCCTCAGAAACGGCCGCAGCGTTTTCTCGTAGAGAATGGCGCCCTCTGTGTGTCGCTGTCGTAACGTCATCCAAGTCTGCTCCAGACGAGAAACCTGAGGAACGTCAAAAACCACACAAACAGAAAAATATGCTTATATAACTTAATTTAGATTTTTTTGGGGGTGGAAATCCAATTTTTTTGCATGAAAAAAAAAGAGATTTGGGATGTTTTGGGCTGCTGAGTGAGTTTGGCCTCAGACAGGAAAGAAAGCAGCAGTTTGATGGATTCATGGTGGGAAATTAATCACCTTCTGCTCTCCTCTCTTCCTGCTGCATTTGTTTTAAAATGCTTCTTAATTTTAGAGCAATAAAGAGTAACATTAAGGATCACATGTGGCACCTTTCACACTATGGTCTGGCTTTCCAAACTAAAGCAGATAGTTAACAGCAGATAGTTTAATTATAGAATCAATCTATGTATCTTTACAAGCAGAGATAACAAGGTCAGAGTTCAACGTTACTCATTGTGTTTTATTCTCTGTGTGTAAGAGCTAAACACTCCACAACTCCCAACTGTCTCCATCAGTAAAGGTTAGCAAGCCGCAGCGTTAATGCTGACCCGGCCCGTTCCTCTCACCTGCGGCAGCTCCAACGCTCTCATGACGGCGGCGAAGCCGAACATGTCGCCTGTGGTGGTCTTCAGCTCGGCTGCGATCTGGATGACTTTATGCAGCAGGGCGGCCCGCTCCTCCGTCGTTCCCGTGCATCCCAACACGTTGACGGCCAACATGGTGGCCATGGTCTGAAACCTGCAGCAACAACCTCGTCAGAACTGGGAAGCAACTGAAACGGTTATGCAAAGGAATATCTTTATTCCTCTGGATTCCTCATAATTCTCAAATATGGAAAAACTTTCCCAAAGTATAAGCAGTTTCAGGATTTAGAAGGTTTTTAGTTTTGTAAACCACAATGACAATATTGATCAGAATGGATGACTGGTTGGATGTTGGTTGTATGTTTTTTGTGGATCCTGGTTGGATGTCTGGTTGGATGTTTTTTGTGGATGCTGGTTGGATGCTGGTCGGATGCTGGTCGGATGCTGGTCGGATGCTCGCCTCTCCAGCAGGTCCAGTCTCAGCTGCTGTCCCTGCGGCAGCGTCAGCAGCTCCATCCCTGAATTTGCTCCCATTTTGCTTCTCATCTCTGCAGTCACATCCAAAATTCTCGCCACCTAGAAACCAAAAACATGTTGGATCACAAAAATGCATAAAAACACCGGAAACAATTATTTTCTTCTCACGTCAAGAAAATAATTGACGTGAGACATGCTTCATAATTCTGCACCATAAACCCTTCACACTTTTTGCATTTAGTTACTAGAATAAATGACCAACCAAAAAAGAATCTGATTTCAGCCAAAAATTGGAATTGACCAGCAAGCTGTGAGAACGCGGCCCATGTAAAAATTGAACATGATTGTTAGTTGATGTCCAGTGGGTGGCGTGGCGGCAGCGTTACCGTGCAGTCGGTCCTGGTGATGTGTCTGGCCGCCGTTCTGGGGTCGACCTCAGCCAGCAGCTCCTTCACCCGGCGCAGGATGCCCACCTCCAGGGGCCTGTTCTCCTGCGGCATCAGCGCCGAGTGGTACCTGCCAGGTCTGAAACAGGAAGCCGTCTCCACTACCGGAGAGAAGTACACGTCCCCATCCTCCGAACCCAGAGAGGCGGCAGTGGGCGGGGCTTCCTCGGCCTGCAGCCGCTCCACGTAGCTCTGAGGCTGCAGCTCCGAGTAGCCGTCTCTATTGGCGGAGGCCGAGTCCTGCGGCGGGGCCGAGTCCTGCGGCGGGTCAGAGTCCTGCGGCGGGTCAGAGCGGGGAACGTGGAGCCGCTGTCTCAGCAGGGTGGAGTCTGACGGGTTTGATAGGGATGGAGACGACGTGACGCTGGGGGCCCAGCTAGAACCGAGGCTCCTGGATGGAGAGCCTGGAGGGAGGAGAGAAAAAAAGGCAACTTTCAAGGCATTATGCTTTCTGTAGCAGCTTAGAATAGGTCTATGGCCTATTCAAAACCTGGTCATTAGATTGTATTGCACAAAATCATTCAGGGTCTGTCTTCATCTAATGAAAATTATTCGTATTTTAAAAACCATATATGGACATTGGAAACATGGCTGTGCATCATGGAGTGCTGAGGCCACAGCTGGATTGACTGGAGGAGGTTTGGACCTTTAATAACTGCTTTCAACTCTAGTTATGTTTTATTATTGTGAGAGATTACATTTACAGTACAATAAGGTCAGTCTGAAGCAGACAATGTTCCTTTAAACAGATGTTTGTTCTTATTAAGTCATAAAGTCCTTTAGTTTAATCTACAGTAAAGACAAAAACTAATACTGTCAGCACTTTTTAGTGGGACAAAGGGGACTTTTGTTGTCATTCAATCAGAATCTACTTTACTGTTAATGTTTTACTGACATCTGTAGATTAAACTCATGTAGTAAACCTGCAAATATCTAATCTCTCTAGAAACAAAACGTGTTTGTTCTAAAGTTTAGATTTAATCATCTAAGTTCAGCTTTTAACATGAGTAAAAGCTGAATTTAAAATGTTTACTGTTTGACGTCTCCAATGAGACTCAATGAGGAGAAAAACAGAAGAAACCAAAGAAGACATTTGAATCTCCAGTTCTCAAGTGCTGCCAGTTATGTTTCTATTAAATATATAATTGTGCAATTCGACATTTCAAAAAATAAATTTACTTAATGCAAACATGCCAATTTTGAAAAAGAAAAAAAAAACATTTTTTAATAAGTCTTGGTGCATCAAAATGAATCCCATGATCAATAACCTGATGATCAGCATGAAGAAACTGATAGGAAGTAGCAGGACGACGATGGTGCAACATGATTTTTAATGACTTATTGTGTAAACAAACTTGTTCAGGTGTGATTTCATTGGAGTTTATTCTTTTATGAAAACACAGCTACTGCAAAATTGCAAAATGTTTTTCTTTTTTGGACATTAGGGGAATTTTAACAAAACGTTTGTAATGTGTGCTCCAACTCCTGCATGAAAAGTCTGTATCATGTCATACTTTATGTCAGCAGCTCTGCATTTGATTCATGTGTTTTGGAGCCGGGATGCGTTCAAAAGCTGCAGGACAGAAGCACGCTGGAGTTGCTGATCCCTGTTTTATGGTGTTTTGCAGTAACTTTGCACCACCTGAACCCTCACCCACAGGTCGATGTTGTTTCATTACTACTTTTAATTCACCAGAGGACTTCCTGCTGCTGTAAACCTCTCACAAGCTGAACTTCAGCCCAGTTAGCTCACTCCCGACACCCACCAACCTCCTCTGCCTGTCGGAGCTGGCAGTCATTCCAGCCTTCGCTCTGAGGGAAACTGGAAGCACAGACGGCGAGTTCAGGTTGGTTCAAGAAACATCTGCTGGCTGCATCGCTCCCGGTGAGTTTTTCCATTAAAGTGAGAGAAATCCCTGAAAGATGATGCTTCAGTGCAGAAGTTTTGTGTTTTCTTGTGATTCTTTGTAAATAAACTTAGACTAGATGTGGTCTCAGTCAGTCAGATCGGTGATTTCCAGATGTTTTCTGCATAAAACAGCAAGACTGGGCATGAGAGTGTTGCGTAAGCTAAGTGTAAAGAACATCTCAGTTTGAACACTAAATGTTTCTGCACAGATTCCAGAAGGAAATCTGGTTCTGGTTTGCAGAATGTTCAGCCATGTGATTCTGTTGTTTCTTTATGCTGTGAAGCTTCCTAAACCTTAACCTCTGCATGACTTATACAGTTTTTTGTTTTTATAGTTTTCCATAAATAAAATTCAAGTCGCTTATGAAAATTGTAACAATTTTAATCCAATCTGATGCAAAAACTAACAGCTGTGCTTCTGAATAATACATCCTAAATCTTTCCACCTTTGTCCTTTTTAACACAAAAGGTGACTTTGTAATCCTTTCCATTGTTTTATTTCTCGGGTTTGATTACCAGGCAACACCTGCACACAAACACAGAGCAATGAAACCTGAGACAAACTTCTGTAACTAAATAACTGTAAACCCCCTGAGACCCTGAGGAATTTCACCATTGTTGCTGTGAACTCGGGGAACTTCGACTGCACGAGATCTGGGAGTTATGTAAAGCTTGGAAAACGACCTTCTGAAAACCTTCAACAGAAAACCTTTGCAGTCAGTTTTTTTCTCTGAATCGTTGGTTTTGGGCATCCTTACTCAAAATATTTGTTCTGGTGAAGAGGCTGTTGAACTGCATGTTCATAGGTCCAAATCAGGACAAAACATATAGAACAACTAGAAATGAGCAAATAATCTTTGATAAACATAACATTGTGTTCATCCAAGTGTTAAATTGTTGGTATTGAATATTGATCACATATTTTATCTAAACACAGATTGTTATAGCAGACATGTTTGCTAACTTCCACAGCAGCTCTTTAATGAAACAAGCAAAAATCAAATATATAATATTTACTCATTGCGTACTTTGAAGCTGCAGTTTATAAAAAAATGTTGTTTTTTTTCCATATTTGAAAATATGATTGAACAGTTTATGAGACAGAAAATCTGTGGAAAGATGAATCTCCTCCACCTCTTCTGTAAGCTACAGACTGAAGAAATACACCAAACACAACCAACCAGAGGCAGGAGGCGGGGCTTAGCGCTGTCAATCAACTTAATGTGCTCGCTGCTAAATGTGCTAATGGTAGACTAACAACTTACTGTTATGAACCACTGAAGGAAATGACACAAAAACCTCTGAAGACACTGAGTGCAACTTCCTTCTTCACAAAATGGAAACACTAACGGAGTGGCGTCAGATTTTAGCGGTTGGAAGATTTATCTTTTTCTTTTTGTGATAAAAGAACACAAGTCATTTCCCCAGCTAACATGAGACTCACGTTTGTTTTGGTTGTATTTACCCAGAATGCCGAGCACTTTAGTCCACTTCCTGCTGTTGGCATAGGCTCTGGTCCGCTTAGTGTTCACATATGCATTCAAACCACACTGGAGTTCACTTCAAACAAACCAAGATGGAGGTTTGTAGACGGACCAGAGTTAGATATTTTTTTGATCAGAGTTGGATTACGCATTCACGCCTTCCCAAACTTTCCAGATAAATGGACTGGAGTTGGATTAAAGTGGATCCAACATTGACGGTGGGAAAGAACCCTAACATTGCACGTGATGCTAAGTTGAATTTCTAGCTCCTAATCAAGTGCTCCCAAATCGCACCGATATTTCTACTTTAAATAATTATTATTAATTGACTAATGTATTGCAAGAATCTCAAATTGTTCTTATGCTTTTTCTTTAAATGGTGCTAAATGACCATAATCAGGGGAAACACATCACAGCACTTTGTAAGTTTTAAAGTTCTGTGCAATGTCACAGAAAACCTTGTTGACTAACATTTAATGCAATGCAACTCACTGGAGAAAAAACTATCACAGAAATCAGAATAAAAGTCATTCTTTGAGCTAAGCTAATTATTTTTGATGAAGTTATGTTGAAGGCTCCATCAGTAAAGTTAATCAACCTTTAGTCAGATGAACTGTAATGGCTACCATAACAGTTTCCATGGCCACGAGTCAAAGTCTCTACAGGACACAAAAGAATAATTAGTTTGATGTTTGTTCATGTATATTTATGATAATTTGTGTTGCATTCATTTTGTAAAGGACTGCCTGCATTACAATAATTGTTTTGGTAAATAAGATCCAATAAAATCTGTTCAAAATCTCAGAATCAAAACGCTCCTAAATATTTTCTTCAAGCTCAGCAGAAAGTTCAGGAACTCTAGCATGAATCAAGCAGAACAAAGTTTGTTTGCAAGCCAGCAATAAGCTAGTTCAAATCAGCATTAGCAGGATTTAACTCATGTTTTTACTAATCCATTAGTTATTATTAAATCCCTGAAAATTATGCAAATTTCATACAACCTCTAATGTCACGGTTAGACAAGACTGTTGGAACCATAAAGTGCAAAATCATTAGCTGACTAAATGTAAGTTTTAATGAAACTTCAGATTGATTTATAAATGTTTTATGGATAATTTGTCACTGCATTCCCCAAAGATCCCAACAGATCTTGATTTTAAAGATGTTACTGTAAAGGCTCCAACAAATTGAGGCAGACTCAAAGCAAACATCCACTAAACATATTCATGCAAAGGTCAGTTTAAACCTGGGTTGGGCAATAAATCAAGTAATCAGATGTTCTATTTTTGAATATTAAATTTTTGGAAAATTTGGATTTCTTGGGTTTCCAGAGATGTTATCTCACCCAAGAACTACAATCTTGTTTGACAAGCGTGTTTTAGAGCTTATGCTTATTTAAACTCTGAACTCAGGTCGACTCACAGAAGGAATTATTGAACAGCCAATTTTTCAATTGGCTGTGAAAAGAAAATCTAACTCTAAAAGAAAATTCTAAATTGAATTTGGTATAAAAACAATAGGAGATTTTGTTTTTAAAATATATCCCCAGCCTTAATTTGAAAAACTACAAGTTCACATTGAATTGCTTTGTATGAGACACTGAGCTCATAAAGTTGAGAGTATCACCATATTGAGGACAAAATGGATTATAATTTTGAAGACAGTTTTGATGGAAGCAATTGTAAAACACAGAAACTTGTATGATCAAGGAATCATACAAGTGAAATGAACATATTTGTCTCAAGAAATGTGGGAAATCAGTATGTTGAAGGCTCTGTATCAGAGCTGCACACAGAGTCCATGCAGCTCATACACACTGTACGCCTCGGTATATTGGAGCCTTAACTGTAATTTCAGGTTCTGAATATAACATAGGCTACATTCACACTGCAGCCTGCGCAGCTCATATCCACATAGAAAATGTGAACGACCACGCAACAAAAGCGTATTTCACAAAAGACTTCAATTGAACATTAAGGCCTGCAGTGTGAATGAAGCCATATGGGTGAATGTGGTCCAAAAGGGTTCAGGAGGAACTCATGGCGATATCTAATACCTTGACATTTTGTGTCAGAATTTCTTTCAGAAATGTATCGGCTGATCCTGCCGACACTGGCAGGATCGGCCTGCTCATCAATCGTGATAAATGGAGGGAGAGTCTTGGTCTACCCTTTGGATGGAAGTCACTGGGTCAACATGATCGTCATCGTAGAAGAGCTTTACGCTCGGGGCCATGACGTTACCGTGGTGTGGCCAACAAATTCCTGGTACATCAAGCCAGACTCCCCCTACTACAGGTCCATTCCTATAAACAGTACAGCAGGTTTTGATCCAAAAAGCTTTGCATATTATGTAACAGGAACCCTAAACAAGCGACGCCAAAGTTCTTCATTGTGGACCCGCATGTTTTTGGAGTATGATCTACTCACACAGCTCTATGAAATGCATATGCATGGGCTTCAAACGGTTGAACAAATTTTTGAGGATGAAGCATTAATGCAGAGTCTCCATGATGCTAAATATGACTTGCTTCTTACTGATCCTGCAACTGGTGGAGGAGTTCTTCTGGGTCACCGTTTGGGTCTTCCTCTTGTCTTTAATGTCAGGTGGACGTTTAAGGGAGACCCACATGAGGCTATTGCACCCTCCCCACTGTCTTATATACCGGTATCCGGGTCAGAACTGTCTGATAGAATGACATTCATGCAAAGGGTCCAAAATGTATTGTATTATTTCCTCACTTGCCTCCAAATGCGGTTCATCACAGATCCAAACTACAAACCCTTTGTCCATCGTCACTATGGCAAAGATGTAGATTACATAGAGCTGTTCCAAGCAGCTGACATCTGGCTTATGAGAAACGACTTCACCTTTGAGTTTCCATGACCAACAATGCCAAACATCATCTACATGTCAGGATTCCAGTGCAAACCCTCCAAACTTCTCCCCAAACAACTGGAGGACTTTGTACAGAGTTCTGGAGACCATGGTGTCATCGTGATGACATTGGGGACATTGGTAGAAAAGCTCCCTGACGACATCACTGAAAACATTAATGCTGCTTTTGTTGAGCTTCCCCAGAAGGTGATCTGGAGGCACAAAGGGAAGAAGCCATCCACCCTTGGCAACAATACCCTAATCTTGGACTGGTTACCCCAAAATGATCTCCTTGGTCATCCCAAAACCAAATTGTTTGTGGCTCATGGAGGCACCAATGGAATGCAAGAGGCCATCTATCATGGCGTTCCCTTGGTTGGCTTGCCACTCATGTTTGATCAACAAGACAACTTCTTCAAGATGGCATCAAGAGGAGTAGCCAAAGTCCTGGACATTGCAGAACTAAATAAAGATGTCTTCTTGGAGGCTCTGAAGGAGGTTCTCTATGAGCCTTCATACAGAGAGAAGATGAAGGAGCTGTCCAGCCTCCACAGGGATCAGCCCATGAAACCTCTGGATCGAGCCATGTTCTGGATCGAGTTTGTCATGAGGCATAAAGGAGCGGCCCATCTGAGGACTGAGTCCTACAAGATGTCTATGATCCAATACCACTCTATTGATGTTTTGGCATTTCTGTTGGCAATTAGTCTGCTGCTCTTTACTGTTTTTATTTCCGCAGTACGTTTTTTAAGGCAAAGATTATACAGTCAAACGTAAACTAAAATTGATTAAATTGCTGCAGCATAAAATTTTGCAAAGACAAACTAAAATGTTGATTTTAAATGGAAAAACTTAAATACTGCTTCTCAGTTTTAAGCAGAAACCTTGTTAACGTGTTTCCAAATATTTCTAACCACTGTATCCAAAAATTACAAATAAAAACTGTAAATGTCGACTTGTTGTATAGTCTGTGATTGATCGATTGACGAGTTTTTTTTAAAAACAATTTCAATCAAAAACTAATAATTCTACATATTTATATTTTGGGGAACATCATAAGGGATGTCTATATTAAGCCGACTTCACTGTTAGACTTGAGTAGCTTGAATTCCTATTCAAGTGTTTATACATTCATCACATCTTTACCTCAAATTTACAGATTTGTTTCAGTGTTGCCTGAATGTTAATGATTATGACATCGAATGCAAGAAAGGTGTTAAATGGCTTCTCTGTGAATTAATCAACTTCGAGTTCATTTAAACTTGATTTGATACTCATCAAGTTGCAATGTACATATACGGAAGTCCATCAAAAGCAAAAAACCGCATATAGGAGTACTTACCAGTAAATAAAAACTAGTGGATATCTTTATATCTTGAAAATGATTCTACAGAACAGTTTCCTTTGTGTATCTCAAATAATTTACATCGTTTTAAGGTTTTAATATTATATGTGATGTTTGTCTCTTACAATCAGCTGAATGTAAAATTAAATTAACTCCCATAAATCTGAAATTTAAGTTTCTTAAATTCTTTAATATCAACATGCTCCATAATGTTTCAAAGGCTCTACAAGAATTATGACAATACATTTACATTGAAATAAATATCCAAGTGAGGAGAATCATTTTTAAAATTTTGACATTTTTTGTTATTTTATTTCTTGGTTCTTGTTTTATCCTCTTTTTTGAGGAAACAGAATTACCTGTGCCCACTGGATGTTGGCATTTTCATTTGAAACCAAATTAAAGCAACACAGACCACTGGAGTATACACCGAACCAAAAGACTCATCAGAAACTCTGGTTAGTTCTGGATGTAGGAAGACTGCTTGTTACTGCATACGTCCATTAGCTTAATGTAGAGAACATTGTCTCTTGTGTTTTAAGAATTACTTTTATCATAAGTCCTTTGTTGGGAGGGTCTGATCTGATTTCTCTGTGTCTCCCATCAGAAACTATTTCTGAGATGTACCGACTGACCCTGCTTACGTTGGCAGTGTTGCCCTTCATGGTAAATGGAGGGAAAGTTTTGGTCTTCCCTTTGGATGGAAGTCACTGGGTCAACATGAACATCATCTTAGAAGAGCTTCACGCCAGAGGCCATGAAGTCACCGTTGTGCGACCATCAGATGCCTGGTACATCAAGCCAGACTCCCCTCATTATAAGTCCATTACCATTAACAGTTCTGGAGGTTTTGAGAAAGAAAACTTTGAGCTATATGTAACAAGAACTCTAAACATGAGGCGCCAAGGTGCTTCCTTCTGGACCCGGATATCTCTAGAGTATGATGTCATGATACAGTTTTACGAGATGCATAAGCAAGGACTTCAGATGGTTGAAGATGTTTTTGAAAATAACCAACTGATGCAGAGTCTCCATGATGCCAAATATGACCTGGTCCTAACTGACCCTGGAACTGGTGGAGGTGTTCTTCTGGGTCACCGTTTGGGTCTCCCTCTTGTTTTTAACGTCAGATGGACAATTCAGGGTGAAGGGCATTATGCAATTGCACCCTCCCCACTGTCTTATATCCCAGTGCCCGGGTCAGAACTATCTGATAGAATGACATTCATGCAGAGGGTCCAAAATGTATTGTATTATGTCATCACTTGCCTCCAAATTCGGTTCATCACAGATCCAAACTACAAACCCTTTGTCCATCGTCACTTTGGCAAAGATGTAGATTACATACAGCTGTTTCAATCAGCTGACATCTGGCTTATGAGAAACGACTTCACCTTTGAGTTTCCACGACCAACAATGCCAAACATCATCTACATGTCAGGATTCCAGTGCAAACCCTCCAAACCTCTCCCCAAACAACTGGAGGACTTTGTACAGAGTTCTGGAGACCATGGTGTCATTGTGATGACATTGGGGACATTGGTAGAAAAGCTCCCTGACGACATGGCTGAGGACATCGCTGCTGCTTTTGCTGAGCTTCCCCAGAAGGTGATCTGGAGGCACAAAGGAAAGAAGCCATCCACCCTTGGCAACAATACCCTAATCTTGGACTGGTTACCCCAAAATGATCTCCTTGGTCATCCCAAAACCAAATTGTTTGTGGCTCATGGAGGCACCAATGGAATGCAAGAGGCAATCTATCATGGCGTTCCCTTGGTTGGCTTGCCACTCATGTTTGATCAACAAGACAACTTCTTCAAGATGGCATCAAGAGGAGTGGCCAAAGTCCTGGACATTGCAGAACTTAAGAAAGATGTCTTCTTGGAGGCTCTGAAGGAGGTTCTCTATGAGCCTTCATACAGAGAGAAGATGAAGGAGCTGTCCAGCCTCCACAGGGATCAGCCCATGAAACCTCTGGATCGAGCCATGTTCTGGATCGAGTTTGTCATGAGGCATAAAGGAGCGGCCCATCTGAGGACTGAGTCCTACAAGATGTCTATGATCCAATACCACTCTATTGACGTTTTGGCATTTCTGTTGGCAATTAGTCTGCTGCTCTTTACTGTTTTTATTTTGATAGTCAAATTTCTCTGGAAGAGAGTGTTTCATAGCAGTAAAGCTAAAAAAGAATAATGAAAATGTTTTCAAACTGAAGCAAATTTGTTTCAAACAGTGCAATCGGTTACCATGCATGTTAGATTTCAGTGTCTTGAAGTACAACATTTCCAGTAATATATTAATCAACTTACTAATGAGATGAAGAAATGTCCAAAAATTATGCCATGTATTTCCTCAGTCTTTTTGTCACATGCCGTCTTGTTAAGTACATATAAAATTGTATGTAACTGAAAAAATTTGGTGAGCACCATGTCTTTTAATAGGAACATTTTTTTATTTCTGAATATTGTTGAAGGTGTTTTGGCTGTTTATGACTATTCTAAACCACTGATTTAATATGTGAAAATGTGAAATGATTTTTCACTGTAAGTCAATTAAACAAATGGATAAACATTCAGAGTGAGTTGTTGCATTAAAGTTACATTTCTCTTTTCGAAAACACAGTGTTGACTGACCACTTAAACAAGTCAATTTCCAGAATATCTGGAAGCCACAAAATCTGAAATCTTTTCTAAAAACACAGCTACCAATTTGCTAAAATATACATAAAAACAAAACAAAAAAAACTCTCATTTGTTCAATTCTATGTTAAGGCAAGTTGTCTCCAAAAACTTTATTATATGGTTACTGACCTCTACAGATCAGCATCAAGTCAGAATATGACTTGAAGACATAAAAATTAAATGCCTCTTTAAAAGCTGAAGTGCCCCCGTAGTCATCATTGCCTCAAAAATGTCAAACTAAAATCTCTAAAATTTTAATATCTCACATATAATTATTGATATTAATGACTTTGGTTCCCAACACCCAAAATAACAAAAACGAAGAGTTGCAAACAGCTACTAGGACAGTTGCACCTATAGATTAGTTCCCAACTCTTGTTAGAGTGGTTGTAAATGAATCCCTGTTCCAGGAACCAGAATAAATTGCTCTGACCTCATTGTTTTGACAGGTATGGATTTTGTTTCTCATCTCACATTAGGACTCCCCATAATAATAACAAATGACAGTATCCAACATCAAAACGCTTGCATGTTGATTGGTTTACCTAACATCAGTGCTTGGTTAGTAGGGTCAGGTCTAACATCTCTGTATCTCCCATCGGGATTTCTTTCAGAGATGACCCGACTGACCCTGCTGACCCTGGCAGTATTGATCTGCTCATCATCCCTGGTAAATGGAGGAAAAGTCTTGGTGTTCCCAGTTGATGGAAGCCACTGGGTCAACATGAACATCATCATTGAAGAGCTTCATGCCAGAGGCCATGAAGTCACAGTGCTGCGACCTTTTGACTCTTGGCACATCAAACCAGACTCCCTTCACTACAAGACCATTACTGTAAATTCCTCATCTGGCTTTAGTGAACAAAGCCTTGGGTTATTTGTGAACAGAACACTGGATTTACAGCGAGAGGGACCTTCATTTAGGACTCACATTTCTATAGTTTTCAATCTACTGTCACAGTCATACCTCATGCATGAGCAGGTTCTTCAAATGACAGAGGGGATTTTTGAAGATAAAGCACTAATGCAGAGCCTCCGTGATGCAAAATTTGATCTGGTTCTTACAGATCCTGCATTTGGAGGGGGTGTTTTTTTGGGTCACCGTTTGGGTCTTCCTCTTGTCTTTAATGTCAGGTGGACTATTCAGATTGAGGGGCATTTGACAATTGCACCCTCCCCAGTCTCATATGTCCCTATAACAGGATCACAGTTAAAGGATAGGATGACATTCATTCAAAGGGTCAAAAACTTCCTCATTTATATTGTGACATATATTCAATTTTGGTATGTTGTGGAACCACTCTACCCAGAATTTGTACATCAACATTTTGGCAAAGATGTAGATTACATAGAGCTGTTCCAAGCAGCTGACATCTGGCTTATGAGAAACGACTTCACCTTTGAGTTTCCACGACCAACAATGCCAAACATCATCTACATGTCAGGATTCCAGTGCAAACCCTCCAAACCTCTCCCCAAACAACTGGAGGACTTTGTACAGAGTTCTGGAGACCATGGTGTCATTGTGATGACATTGGGGACATTGGTAGAAAAGCTCCCTGACGACATCACTGAAAACATTGCTGCTGCTTTTGCTGAGCTTCCCCAGAAGGTGATCTGGAGGCACAAAGGGAAGAAGCCATCCACCCTTGGCAACAATACCCTAATCTTGGACTGGGTACCCCAAAATGATCTCCTTGGTCATCCCAAAACCAAATTGTTTGTGGCTCATGGAGGCACCAATGGAATGCAAGAGGCCATCTATCATGGGGTTCCCTTGGTTGGCTTGCCACTCATGTTTGATCAACAAGACAACTTCTTCAAGATGGCATCAAGAGGAGTGGCCAAAGTCCTGGACTATGGAACTGTCAATAAAGATGTATTCTTGGAGGCTCTGAAGGAGGTTCTCTATGAGCCTTCATACAGAGAGAAGATGAAGGAGCTGTCCAGCCTCCACAGGGATCAGCCCATGAAACCTCTGGATCGAGCCATGTTCTGGATCGAGTTTGTCATGAGGCATAAAGGAGCGGCCCATCTGAGGACTGAGTCCTACAAGATGTCTATGATCCAATACCACTCTATTGATGTCTTGGCATTTCTGTTGGCAATTATTCTGCTGCTCTTTACTGTTTTTATTTCTCTAGTCAAATGTTTCTGGACTAGAGTACTCAACAGAGTCAAGGCCAAAAAGGAATAATTAATCTGACCTTACATATTCATGCTTGGTGTTGCTTATCTTATCCAACTGACTGTCTTGTCTTTGTGAAAACTTTAATGGAGCTATCAAGTTAAATGCAGGTCTAATGTCCAGCACTAAACTGTTTTTTTCTAGAAATGTCATTATCGTTTATTGTTAATGTTTATTTAGCTCACTTTGCAGAATTATTTAGTTTCGTCAAGTTTGGTGAAATGGATTTTTTTTACAAAACATGTTTACATTTTCATCTTAAAACTTAGTATTTGTGAGTATAATATTGTTTCTTACTCTTTTTATAAACCAATGTGTAACATGTAAACCAGTTGAGATTGCTGATATAATTTCAATAACTAAACTAACCTGAAGCACTCTTTTCTAAACTGATGGACATTCAGATTCTCTGAACAACATTAACACTTCTCTGTAACGCCTTTTTATTGTTTACCTTTAAACTGAGCTCAAATCTTTGGGATTTTTATTGCCTCATGTTCAAAAATGTGTACAAATACTTGTGTCATCAAAAATAAAGGTACGAAACAAAAATTGCAGTATGGCTGAAAAAAGCAAAATCATCCATATTTCATATATGTTAACATTTTAGTTTGATACCAAATGTTAGTCAGCATAACTCTTCATTGCATCAATTAAAGCAAAATGCTATAAAAACCTCTATGAAGAAGCAGAGGTGAGTCAGCTAGCCAAAGTAAAAGCAATGGCGGAAACGTAATTCAACACTACACTCCTCTGATTAGATGGTTTTTTAATTTTCATATTGGTTCTACACCTCAGAAAGTCACATGCGGTATAATAACTCTCAATGAGCAATTATTTCCAGTTTCAACAACAACTTGTTCTTCTAGGTTTTTTCTGCTTGTGTCACATTTAGATTTACTCAGATTATCTCTATTAAATGGTAAATGGACTGAACTTATATAGCGCTTTTCCAGTCATTTTGACCACTCAAAGCGCTTTACACTAAAGTCACATTCACCCATTCACACACACATTCATACACCGACACGCAGACCGGTAGGCAATTTGGGGTTAAGTGCCTTGCCCAGAGGCACATCGACATATGGCAGGAGGAAGCTGGAATCGAACCTACAACCTTCCGATTGCAAGACGACAACTCTGCCACACAACCACAGTCGCCCAGTTAGATCAGTTAGATCAGACATATTTACAATACCTTCCAATGAAGATTTCATTTATAAAGGAGAAAAAGCAATCTAAACCAACCTGACCATGTGTTAAAATGTAATTGACCCTGATCCTAACCGGTTTTTCCACTGTGGTTCTCTGGAGCCCTCAAGTCTCCAGAGAACCTGTTAAACTCAGTTCAAGTGGGACCCAATATTGCAACATGTGTTACATTTCAGCTGCCATTGTTCATGTTCATGTTCACTTTGGACTTTGTCAAACGAACCAAACCCTTTGATCTACCTGTTCACCCTCTCACCTGTAGGGATGCTCCACCCAAAAAACACAGAAGAAAATAGCATGAAAACCTCTGAAGAAAACACTGAGCACATCTTTCTTCTTCACAAAATGTAAACAAAAATGAAGTGGTGCCAGATTTCAGCAGTTGTAGGATTTTTGTTTTGACCATGGTAAAAGACTATGAGCCATTTATCTGGTTAGTACTGGCCTCATGTGTATATTTTGGTTGTATTTACCCAGAATGTGCTGTGCTATAGTCTGCTTCCTGTGGTATCCGGTCCACTTCTTGTTCACATATGCATTCAAAGAGCACCAGAGTTCACTTAAACCAAACCAAGACCAAGGTTTGTAGGCGAGCCAGAATTCACTTTTTAGGTACACATCTGAGTTCAATTATGCATTCACACTTCCACAAGTGAACCAAACTTTCTAGGTAAACAAAGTTGGATTAAAGTGGACTAAACAAAGCTGGTGTGAACATACCCTTAGAAATAACTCTGTAATCATTTTCAGACTGATAGATCTCAATGACCATTTTCTCATCTACTCTTGAATTTCTTCTGCTCTTGGCACAATATGATGTTCTTTGAACTCTCTTTGCCTACCTCATGTCAGACATGTTCTATTGAAGAGTTTGCAAGATTCTGCAGATATAGCAGTAATCAGGTGAAGCTAAAATAAACAATAAATTTTAGTCACATTTAATTCATTATTTGCCAATAGGGGCAATTCCATTTTTTCCACAAAGACAGGTTGGTTTGAGTAGCTTTTTTCCATAATAAATATAAGTATAAATGGTATTTGATGATCTCAAACATTTAACAGAAGAAATCGTTGAGGTGAAAAATACTTTTTCATAGCACCACATAGGGTTAAGAATTCTGCACCATGCAAGCTACTTCCATAATCAAAAGAGTACCAATCATTCCAGCATCAACTTAAAATAGTACATTACATGAAGGTTGGAAAACATTTAAAGGAACTTACAAACCTCAGAAAACAATGAAACTAGCTGTAGTTTAAATTACATGACACCATCTTTGTAGTTTGGATGTTTTGTATTAGTTGCAAAAGGGTTAAAATTTATGGGAGCAAATAAAAAGAATCACATTATTTAGTCTACACATGTAGACTCTAATCCATTAAAAGACATTCAGACCTAAGAAGATTACTTATACTTACAAAAGCCGATATTAGACAACTTATTTCCTCATATACAAGTGTCTTCATGTTGATAGAAGTCCTTTATTATGACGGTCAATGCTAACACCTATCTCCCATCGGGATCTCTTTCAGAGATGACCCGACTGACCCTGTCGACCCTGGCAGTATTGATCTGCTCGTCATCCCTGGTAAATGGAGGGAAAGTCTTGGTGTTCCCAGTGGACGGAAGCCACTGGGTCAATATGAATGTCATCATCGAAGAGCTTCACACCAGAGGCCATGAAGTCACAGTGCTACGACCTTCAGACACCTGGTACATCAAGCCTGACTCCCCTCACTACAAGGCCGTTAACATAAATTTGCCAGGTGGAATAGACAGGCAGAACTTTGGGTCATATGTCATGAAGACGATAAACATGAGACGTCATGGTTCTTCAGTTTGGTCTCGCATTTCCCTGGAGTATGATCTATTGCAAACCTTTTATCAAATAGGTAATAAAGTGCTACAAATGGTGGAAGATATTTTTGAGGATAAAGCGCTAATGAAAGCCCTCCATGATGCCAAATATGATTTGCTTCTTACTGATCCTGCAGTTGGTGGAGGAGTTCTTCTTGGTCACCGTTTAGGTCTTCCACTTGTCTTTAATGTCAGATGGACGATTCAGGGAGAGGGGCATCAAGCTATTACACCTTCCCCTCTCTCCTACATCCCCATACCAGGATCAGAAGTGACCGATAAGATGACCTTCATGCAGAGGGTCAAGAACTTCCTCTACTACATCTTTACATGTTTCCAAATTTGGTACGTTGTGGAACCAATCTACAAACCCTTTGTCCATCGTCACTTTGGCAGTGACATATATTATATGGAGCTGTTCCAATCAGCTGACATCTGGCTTATGAGAAACGACTTCACCTTTGAGTTTCCACGACCAACAATGCCAAACATCGTCTACATGTCAGGATTCCAGTGCAAACCCTCCAAACCTCTCCCCAAACAACTGGAGGACTTTGTACAGAGTTCTGGAGACCATGGTGTCATTGTGATGACATTGGGGACATTGGTAGAAAAGCTCCCTGACGACATGGCTGAGGACATCGCTGCTGCTTTTGCTGAGCTTCCCCAGAAGGTGATCTGGAGGCACAAAGGAAAGAAGCCATCCACCCTTGGCAACAATACCCTAATCTTGGACTGGTTACCCCAAAATGATCTCCTTGGTCATCCCAAAACCAAAGTGTTTGTGGCTCATGGAGGCACCAATGGAATGCAAGAGGCCATCTATCATGGGGTTCCCTTGGTTGGCTTGCCACTCATGTTTGATCAACAAGACAACTTCTTCAGGATGGCATCCAAAGGAATTGCCAAAGTCCTGGACATTGCAGAACTTAATAAAGATGTCTTCTTGGAGGCTCTGAAGGAGGTTCTCTATGAGCCTTCATACAGAGAGAAGATGAAGGAGCTGTCCAGCCTCCACAGGGATCAGCCCATGAAACCTCTGGATCGAGCCATGTTCTGGATCGAGTTTGTCATGAGGCATAAAGGAGCGGCCCATCTGAGGACTGAGTCCTACAAGATGTCTATGATCCAATACCACTCTATTGATGTTTTGGCATTTCTGTTGGCAATTATTCTGCTGCTCTTTACTGTTTTTATTTCTCTAGTCAAATGTTTTTGGAGGAGAGTATTGCATCAAAGCAAAACCAAAAAGGAATAATTATCTTGACCATAAACCTCTTTACATGCACTTTAAGCATATCACAACAGAAAGATTGAAATTCATGAAAACAAATATGATTGTGTAGCTGAATGAGCTGACCTAAATTTGTTCAATCATTATTTTAGGACAATTAGAGTGTAGATTAGAAATCTATCTAAATTTCTTCAGTCACAGAAAGGAATGATGGTAAAACAACAAATTTTTGTTGAAGCTCCTTTTCTCTAAAGTCTGCATATAAATTTGTTTCTGCGTTTATAATATTTATCATTTAAATTCTAATTTCTATTTCTGAGGAGAAGCATGAAGCTCTTCATCAGATGTCACTGACATATATAACTAAGTTAAACATGGTAATTTTACATAACAGGAATAATGAAAGGTTTTATTGGAAGATGGTGTAATTATAATTTATTGGTTCATCATCAAAAAAAAAATTTCCTGAAGTTTGTCGTAGTAATAATTAAGTGACAGGTTTCAGTTAATTTTGAATGCTTTTGAATCATCGCTTTTGTGCCATATGATAACAAATATGTGTATTAATATTTGAACAAACTGACTGACAGCAGCAGAAGAGCTCAACTTTAAACACTCAACCAAATATTTAAAATCTGGATTAAATGGCTTCACTGGTGACACCTGCAGGCAACAGAGCAAACAACACTTTAGTTTATCAATTTTCTGAATTATCAGTTTTCTTTGTACTCTTTTTGACATATCCAGGTTTATTATTAAGTCACTAAATAAAATAGCTATTTAAGCCAGTCTTACAGTTACAGAGTTAACATTAGTGAATTAAATTAGGGTTGTCCAAGTCCCCCTATCTTAAGTCCCCCTATTTTAAGTCCCCCCTAATGGAGAGAATGAATTTATTTCTTATAATTTAATTTAAATCAGTAGCAAGTATAAATAAAAGTGCACAGAATAACAAAATAAAGAGAAAACTATCAAAATATGACCATTTTTGGTTTTGATCTTTTTGTTGTTGGAAAAAAAAACCTCCCTTTCTTTTTTCAGAGGGAACATGTAATAAATATGACATCAGAGAACGCAAACACATAAAAAGAAAATGTTGGAGCTCACTGTGGCTGTGAGGAGAATGTGCAGCAGGATTCAGCGCCCGTCTGTCATGTTTGCAGTCAGATCCAGAACCGGGCTGAACGGAGGATGGGCTGTGAGGAGACAGGATGTCGGAGATCAAACAGCAGGAAACAGTGAAAGGAAAACAGTTTGTGTTTCTTATGGTTCTTAATTTCTCTTTTTAATCAAAGTCAAATTCAATTAACATAAAACAAAAAATAATGGCTCTGCTCATATTTCAGACATGACCATGCACTTCGGCTCACTCAGAGAACAGCTCTAATCACAATCATTCATGAGTCTGCTAAGTAAATATTTATCCTTGAACTAAGCATGTACATAAGCTAAATATCATTTGAAACTAAATATCTAGTTACCAAGTTAAATAATAAGATTGATAATTAAATATTTAGCTTCCTAACAAAATATTTAGTTTCAAACAATATTTAATTTGCTAAGCACGTATTTAATTTGAAGCTAAACATTTAAGTAATGAGTTAAATCTTTTCTTTGTAAGCTAAATATTTAGCTTGCTATTTTAATTAAATTTAGATCTAAGCAATGCCATTCCAAAATATATGAATCAAATAAATTTCCATTTGTTTTCTCTCATGTCAGGCTAAATAAAACAAATTAATGCAGTAAAGTTTTGCCAGTGTGACTTTACAAATGGTACTCCATGCGTTTTATGGAGCATTAAAATCATAAAAGGTATGGAGTTCAGTATTAAATCATCAGATCTTGGTACAGCTAACATAAGTTTGTCACACATCAGTGCAGCTCAGACTTATGAGCTGTAGATTTCAGCTACAGCTCATCACTTCTACAGGTTTTGTAATTTCTCACTTAAAGCCTCTTACATGGAAGACCCACACATCTGCATAAATGGAGAAACAGAAGAGAAACTAAAAGAATAAAACTGAGAGGCCCTCCACCTGATCAGACAGACCCGCTCCTCTCCCTTCAGGTCTCTCTGGTTGGACGATGTGCCGAAGGCCGTTTCTAGGAAGCTGAGCGGCAGCGTCCTGTTCACCGGCCGGTTAATCTGAGCTCTGGTCCACAGCGTCAGAGCCGCCTGGCTGCCCACGTAGTAGTGAACGAGGGCTGGGATCGAGTCAAAGGCCTCGCCTTCCAGGCTGTACTGGACCCGGGTGTAAGTCTCCCCAGACTGGACCACCGTCTTCCTGACGGGAACATGAAGGGCTTCCTGTTCCCAGCGGCAGGTGAGGACGAAGCCGCCCTGACTGGACCGGGAGTCTCTGAGGAGGAAATCACCTTCGTTCACCACCAAACTCTCCGACACCTGCAGAAACATTTAATCCGTCCAAAGCTAAAGATCGGTGGAGGTTTCTGATGTTTTGTCTCATCAGATATCAAATTATAACAAGCCTTGCTAAAGTAAAGTAGTTTCTGAATTGTTTTTCTGCTCACTCTTGGAAGATCAGTCTGTAATTCTCGCTGTTGCGTTTTAACACTAAGCTACATCAAAAATGTAAGATTTCCTGGGGGGAAAACAAAGGAAAACTTAAGAAAAAGACAAATAAAGAATAACGCATCACATTCGACCATGACTATATTTTCGTTTGAACAGAGCAGAGCTCTCCCTGAAGTCACTGAACATCATCATCATGGAGCAAATTAAATTATATAGAAGGACTTTGAGTAAGAAACCAAGATGTTTCCTTTACAATTAAAGTAAAGATCCAATTTTCGACGTAAGAAACAGCAAATCAGATTTATTATCATTATTATAAGACCACTTTAAGTCTTACAGAGAGTTTTGACTCTTAATTTTGATTTCTTGTGTTCAAACTGTTGCATTATTGGTCCAATATAAATTAGGTATGTTACCTCCATGTGGCCAGTCGAGAATTCATTTTGATTTACTAAGATAAAATTAACAAATTTGTGTGTTTGAACTATAAAGGACTAATCAACACATATGGATGCTGACTTTTCCAAGACAGTCTGAACGGTTCAATTCTTATCTTTTCACCCACAAAAAAATCCAATTTGTTCAACTTCCTTATGTGGAGCTAAATCACATTCAGTTGTTTTCAAAGCATCTGCAGTCTGAAGTCACGTTGGATTTTATCCAACTTTTATGTCACTGAGGTGAGACGTCCATCATAATTCTGCTCCAGAAGAAGACAAACATAAACTATCACTGATATTTGTAATTATAAAATTAACTTTAAAATTCTTCCATAAACGGTGGCTGATTTCAGTCGCATTTTTCAGTAATATGAACAACTATGGAAAAAGTCAGATTTCAGCAGAAAAATCTGAATTGAGGAACAAAACCTGCTGTGTGAACGTAGCATGAGACCCACATCGATGAACAGCAGAGGAGCGTTGATGCATGACATGTCAGCACAAAACCACAATAACATCAGGCAATAATTCATCGCTTAACCATGACGACATGCAGCATTTACAGACTGACGATCTGTTTCACTTAGAAAAGGTGAGCCTTTTTCAGTTGCTGTTCTTTTTAAAAGATGTGGTATTAAAATAAATTCACTTTTACCTCAATATTTATTTGAAGCTTTTATGTGAATTCTGCACTAAATTAGTGGTTAAGTTGTAATTTCCCCTTTTTCCACAAGCCTGAAATGCAACTTTGGAATTTTAAATATGATGTTTTAGCCACACTCAGTCAGATGATGGTTTGTGGGTATCAAAGGTGTTTGCTAACAAATATAGAGCCATGTGAAATTATGTGAACCCTTTTTCAGTTTCAACATGTTTATAGGGCACTATATTCTAAACTCCTCTGCAGGTCAATAATCCCTTAATATTAATGAAAAAATGAAATAATCTGTCAGTAGAACCAGTACTTTCAATAAACATGAATTACTGTCTTCAAAAAAGATCTTATTTCTCACTGCAAAGTTGTAAGTTAGGTTTGTCTCATTTCAAGTGCATTAAAATACTTCCATTAGAAACTAGGTGGAAAAATCCTTCTGGTATGGCCTTTAGTTCTCATTTTAAAACTGAAACATTCTCTGTGTAATGGTGAAATGTAAATATTTTCATGTAATCAGAACAAACCTCCCAGGGTATCGGGCCGTGGTACCAGGCATGGCTCTTCAGGTAGGTGCCGCTCAGCCTCAGTTCCTCCTCCAGCTGCTTCCTCAGTTTTTCTGATGGAGGCTCCAACCAGAACTTCTCCTTGGAGAACTTAAAAGGCATCACAGGTGCAAAATTAGACACAACTCCAGGACTCAGACCAAAACCCAAAAGATGAGAAGCTGAGTTGTGAGAAGAATCGCTGGTTTGCAGCATCTCCTCTGCAGTCAAACTGCTGCCTTCCCTGCTTTCATTTCTTTTACTACAGAACAGACAGTTGGGAAGGAAAGAGGGAGGAAGGATGGACATCTCTGGCATTCCCACACTGTCATCCACAGTAGTGGCACCAAAGCAAGACTAGGGACATTAGAGTCTTGGCCTCATTGCCCTGGCAGCGGCATTGTGAAACAGGGTCATCACTCAGCAGCTTTTGTCCGTCGTGTCTTTATACAAATGAAAGGCACTAAAGCAGCTACTGTATATGAGGAGTTTATGGTGAGGATGAGCTGGGAATGGATCAGCCTGACACGTCCCACCCCTCAACCCGGACCCAGTTGAGGGGTGGGACGTGAACTGCGCGTCAGACGCTGGGAACCAGGCCAGGACCGCTTCAAAACAAACGCAAGCATGGGTATGTGGGGCTCTATATTTACTGCAGTGTAAAGACCATTTTTCTGACAAATTATTTTTTTGTGAGGACCAACATAAAAGGAGGTTTTGGGTCAGAGGTTGCGTATTGGAATAAGGTGTGAAGAGATTTGTAGGTTTAGAATTAGGCATTCTCAGTGTTAAGCTACGAAAATGAATAAATGAATGGAAAGCACTCTGTGTGTGTGTGTGTGTGTGTGTGTGTGTGTATTCTTGTTTATGTTGTTATTCAGGACCTCTTATGATTGACAGGCCTTATCGGGACCTAGCCCTGCTCTAGCGAGGCAGATCCCCATTTGGCATAAATCCAGTGTCTAAAATGAAAGAAAATTAACAAAGTCTTAATATGGGTAAAAATTCCCACATTAATTGTGTGTGTTTAACAATATCAACTTAAAATATTATATCAATCAATATCATCATTTTAAGTCTGATGAATATGCGTTTCCCGGCCACATAGTGTCATTTTATAGCACAACCAAATAAGTTTGAAAATTGTCACCTTGAAATTGGGTTTCTGTCTCTTTAAGAAGCTTTCAGGCATGACATCACAACAATGCTCATCACTGATACTGCTTAAAACTGTTCTTAGGAGTGTTGCAATGACAAGTAGTTTGTATAATGAGTTGACTCACAGTTCAACCAGGTGTGAATCAAGAGTTCACCTCCCAGCCTGGACCTGGTGGTTCCTCCCTCTGAATGGGGAGTCAGATGGTGGGAACCAGGCCAGGACCATTTCAAAACAAAACAAGAGCATGTGTGTGCTGCTGCTAGTGGCACAAACATGCCACTGCTAGCGGCAGCAGCAGACTAATCGCTGCTGTTGCTAGACTGGAGGAGCAGAGTGGGGAGGGCTGCTATGTGAGGTTTGAACTGCAGTATCTTGTCTGTTTTGTCTTTAACAGAGAAAGCTTAAATGTCAGAAAAAGGGAAGTCTTATAAAAGCAGAAGTTGGCAAGAAAAGAAGAATGAAAGAAGAAAAAATATTTCAAAGAAACTCACTTTCACATATTCTCCACTGCAATTTGTCACTTTTTCAAACCTGCAAAACAGAAAGAAACAACAATAATTTACTTGCAATGTGAAATACGTTGAACTGGATGAAACCGGGTTATCATTTATTGGTGAATGCGAAAAACAAATATTTACACTCATAGATTAACGCTCAGAAGGAATGAAGGAATGAAGACTAAAACTATACAATTTACTGGGAACCAAATTGGTTCCCAGTTTGGTATCAGTCAAATCTGTCGATGCATTCTTTTTGACTAAATGCTGGAAGCAGTATTTACCAAACAATGTGAAATCAGAAAAATAAAAAAAAAATGTAGTTATCTGAAAAAATTTCCAGAAAACTTTCAAAATTTCTAAATAGCACATTAGACTGCTTTTTCTCTTTCTCCTTCTTTTTCTACCCTGAAGAGACAGCAGCTTTTCTGTCTTATTTTTGTCCATCAGCTCAGGTTGACACTCACCTCTTTTTTACACCAGTTTAATAAAAGCAAACAGGATGTTCAATTTAAGATTGTATACATCACAGTAAGTTGCAAAACAGATCACCTCAACACCATTTGCAAAAAAAACTAGCCCAATTCATAGGAAGTCACAGTGATTTTGGGTGGGAAACATTGAGCTACAGGTCAGGGGACAAATTAATCATACCATGCATCAATTAATGGAAAAATGTATGGTAAAAGTTTGACCCAAGAAGCAACATTTTCAATTCAAAAATATTTTTTGCTGCTAGATTATAGCATAGATAGACAATTGAAATCAACAACAAATGTATTCATTGTTTTTATTCCTTTTTTTAGGTTAAAACGATTAATGTAAAGTCTTAAAATAAATTAGAATATCTGTTCCAATGATGCTCATTTGTCAAACTAAAAGTACCTTAAGCAGGTATTAAATATTTTCGATTAAAGCTCCGTTTCTGCCTTAAAAATTGTTTTTATTTGTCTGATGTAATATTCAAATTTTAAAGGGCATGTTTTATTAGCTAGAAGTGAAAAGTTATCATAGGTAAAGTCTGTCAAACTTTAATCTGTGTGTAATTAACCAATATATGACTCAGTGATTGTGGTTGGAAAGTTTTACTTTACAGCACAAGTTTATGATGATTATATGTCTTTATTCTAAATGCTTATGAACTCTCACCAGATAAACATGTCTGGCTCGCACACCAAGGTCAGATGTTGTTTACTGCGGCATTATTGAGATGGCATTTAACCAGAATTGATTGATTCATACAACTCCAAAATCAAACAGCTAACTCTGATATTGCAGCATGATTGAGTTGGATCAGTGCTAGAATCAGACATGCCTTCCTGTCTCCTGTCGGTCCTCTTGCACAACTTCCTACCAGCAGCAGTGAGTTCATTCGACAACACCCAGCAACAACTTGCAACACAGCAAACTTCTCCAGGGAGAGGGAATTTCTCAAACTCATGCATCTACAAACTGTCTGCAGAAGGAACATATTTCTTCTATCCACTTTTCACGTCCACTGGCTCATCACCAGGTCTGACAGGAGTTACAACGCTCAGCTTTACAAAGGAGAGAGAAACAAAGTGCAACATCTTTATCCTTACAGCAGTGACGTGTTGAGTCAGTGAAACAATGTGAGCCGACAGAGAGAAACGTCTTCTCTTTCTGTCGCTCTGTTCTTCCTCAGCATACCACATACTTCAGCGAGTCAGGGGAGGCGACCTTTTGTTCCCAAACACAAACTCTGAGTGCAGACGGCGCAGATGTGAGTTCAGCATGAGAAACTCCACAGAGTTTGATCCAAAGGCTGGATCTCCAGTCTGTGTTGCTCCAGTTTGTTGCACCGTTATGTAACTTTTGTAGTAAGCAAAGCTCTCCAAACAGAACAGGCATGTCTGGAGGAGAGGTTTAATTAACAGAATATCTCAGTCATTTAAGATGAGCTACGGTGGACAAACATCTGAAGCCATGAGATCGTTTTACTTCTGACTAGGAATGCACTGAAAATCCACTTTATTAATTTTCAATATCAATATCTGAGGTTTAGTATTGGCCGATACCGATTTGATGCTGAAAACAGCTCAATCGACCTACAATATTTCTTTTTTTTTTTTTTTTAAATACAGACAAATGTATTGACTAATCAATCAATTTTTTAACTTTTCACCAGTACAGCCCACCTAAATGCACCAATAGCTTCACACGTCTGGTCAAACACACACAAAAACATATTTAATCTGATCAGTAAACACAATTACTGGTAAAGCAGCCAATGCAAAATAAATAAAGAAACTAAAACTGACAAAAACAAAAGGTTGACTTCCTCAGGCAAATACGTACAAACAGCAACAAACTATCCTTCAAATGGTTCAGAAAGTGAATTTAGAAACTCTAAATATAATGTAAAATAAATAAGAAAGCATTAAAGTAATCTCTTAGGGAGATGAACATTAGGGTGGTGGAAAGGAGGCCTTCCACCCTCAAAGACTTGGAGCTGATCACTGATTATACATCTTTAAAGCACCAGAAGAAACATGCAAAAATCTGCTCAGCAATTAAAGCCAACAAAACATTTTCCATTGATTACTGAGAAGGATATCAATATGCAGCCAATGTCCCCTTTCAAATAATCTGTACTGTCAAAAAAGGCAATCAATTAAAATATTTAACTGCAGTTAATCACATGATGTCTGCAGTGAACTCAGAATTGCACAATTATGCATTTTTCAGTATTTCTGCTCCTTTTATCATGTTTCAGCTGTGAATTTCAATACATTTCATTGTGATTTTATGTGAAACAGCAACACAGAGCAGAACACATCTTTTATCTTTTTTAACCAAAAATAAAACATGTGATATGTACTTATTTTGCTAAGTAGGTGATTTCTAAAAGCAAATGGATACATTTGGTTTTATCAAAATAAAGAGGTTAAGTCAACTCAGAGTTTTCTTTCTGAAAACAAATAAATATGTCATATTTCTTTCCACATCAGTTATGTGCTACTTTATGTTGGTTATGTTAAACACACAAAAGAGTTTAATCCTGAAAAGTTTCTGTAGATGGAAAAAAAATCATTTTGTTCCTCAAAGATACCAGAAAAGTGAACCAGAAAGCCACCAGTACTGTAAGTGGTTTTCTAAGAAAATCAGTTTCATGTTTTAAGGAACAAAACAGTTTAGACGGTTCCTCTCCTACCGCTGGTGTTAAACTGAAGCTTAAAAATAGATTCTGAGACTCAACGTGTTAAAATTTAAACAGCAACTCAGTTAACAAGCAACAAGCTCGTTTTTCATGTTTAGCATCAGGTTGGACTTCAAATCTTTGAAGCTTCTGTGACTAAAATTAAAAACAATAAACTTTTTCTGATGTTCCACAAATGCATTGTTGTTTGAAAATTTGCTAGAAAACAATCGGAAATTTTGAGATTAATTTCAGAAATATTTGAGAAAAACTGACATTTTCTCTCAAAGATTCCAGATTTTCATAAGTTGAAAATAAGCAACTTCTGAAATTCAGAAAGTTTTTTTTTCCAGAAAATGTTCTGACTTTTCAAACTCAGAAATGTCTTTGTGCGAGTCTTTTTTGTTTTTTTGAGGAAATTTACTCCTTTTTCCCCTCAGTCCACTTTGGCCCTAACAGGCTGCCGTACCTTGCAGACGGTGGTGGAATGTGTGCAAGGAAGGCACCACAATAAAAATTATTTCCCAAAAACCTGAATCAAGTAGTGTAACAGTAAAAGATAATCACTCCTAATAAAATGGTCTTTGGTCTGACAGTATGAGGCTTCATGGAATCCATTTCCATTTGGATATTTTCTTCTAAAATTAAACATAACAGCTGAATCGCTTAAATAACCACATAAAGATTTTCTCTTATATTTGTACAAATGATAACTGATCCAAGTTTAGATCAGAAACTTCATTTTATCATTCAATAACCTTTTATAGGAACAGTTTCATCTGCATGGCTCTGTGGAGATCCAGAGGAAGTTAAAGTCTCTCTCTGCCTCAGGGTTTCGTTCCCCAAACAGTTTCCTGCTCCTGAATCCAGCCGCAGCTTTCAGACAGAGACGCGCTGCGGCTGGCAGCTTCCCATTACAGCCTCGCGCTGTCACATCTCCCAAAGCTGCAGACAACAATCCCAGAAAGAGGAAAAACAAGCAGTACAACGGTCAGGACGGCCTCAATAACCACTTCTGCTGAGACTGGTTGGTGAAGTGGAAACAGAAATGCCTTCATTGACCTCAGCAGCTCTTAATCTGGAGCTGTGACGAAAACTAGAGTTACTCTGACAGTAACAGAGCTCCACACTGACTCTCCTGGTATTACTACACAGCTGCTGCTTATTAGTTTATTTAAGGGATTTCTTGATTTTGCAGGTTTGGCAACATTAAGCCTGCCAGACCTGGAGAGGCATTAAGCAAAGAAATGTGGTGATTCACATTTCATTTATGGTGTAATAAAGAGGATTATTATTTTTAACATCAGACCAAGGTGGCTTGGATGATATTAGTCCATTAATAAGCGTAAAGGCAACAATACTTTATACATCTTTATATTGTCTTCTAATATTATTTCCCTAATCTAAACATTCATTGTTCATATTGGCTCAGTTTTAGTCACAGGACTGATACTGATATGTTAAAAAATGACAAACATCAGCCGATAGCGATGCTACTGCAGACATATCACCAGTACAGTGGATCCCAGAATAATCGCACTTCAGTTTTCAGATTTTCCTCTGGAACGTGAATACAAATTACTTGCAGGAAATCCACCTATTCATGGATTTATTTTTTACAAAGTATCTAAAGTATTGAAGGAAAAGCTGGAATGCCTCTGCGCAATATTTATGTTTCCGTCCAATTGACAAGTGAATTTTGAGCAGACTTTTAAAATGTTGCAAAAAAAAAAAAAAAAAAGGTAAAAAGTTTTTATCTGCATGCAACATCAATCAGTCCCTCCAGTTTCTCCAGATTCTACTGTGGTGGAAATTCATGCAAAATCAACAGATCACTGCACGTTTTCACGCTAATGTGTAATCTTGAGCTTTAAATGACGCACTCCCACCAGCAGGTGGCAGTATCTCTTTTTACTTTTTCTTTTTAACAAAAAGCTCTTCAGCCTAATGTCGCAATAAGAACAAATAACTCAAAATTTGTTATATTTCTAAATTAGCACCACAAAATTAATAATTTTGATTGCCAAAAAAAAAAAAATAATAATAATAATCACAAAAACTGTCAGAAAATCCTGGAGGGCCTGGTCAATTTAAAAAATCATATTTAATTTTAAGTAGGTTGATTATTTATATTTGAACAGTTTTATAATGGGTTTTATCCATATGTTCAACCGGCTCTTCGAGAACGTTCATGATCTGTGGCCAAAAGGAAAACGAGTCTGTAGATTTTCTGTGAAGTTATTAATGAACATTTGGTGTTTGAAATGTTAAAATGTGCAGCTCCGAGTGTTTTCAGAGGCTGTTTGTTGTCCCTCATCCCAGCAAACAGCAGGGATCCACCGGATCATTATGACTGAACAGCTGAACCAGGATCATGAAGCATTAAGCCTTTTTGTCTGCAGCATCTCTGTACATCATCAGTCTTTTGCGTTGTTTCTCTAAACACTTCAGTCAAAGTTTCAAGTCATTTTTGACAGAAGGTCTCGCAGACTGCAGCAGTCTGCCGGGTCCTGCAGACTCACTCAGGTATTCAGTCTGTTTCTGTTTCTCTGTCAGTTTTGGACTGAAGGATCAGATTCCTCCTCTTATGTAAGGAAAGCCTGCAGCCTGATCCGCTCCCTGGAAACCAGCTCCGGCGGTAAATATCCAGCTTTCAGCTTTTATTTATGGCACCAAACTAATCAGACACGCGTGGTCAGTTTCCACTGTGGCACCAGAGCCTCATCAGCAGCGATCACCACTAAAACTGATGAAACCTGAGCAACTTTCCTCCTGCAGCTGCGACTCTCGCGGTTTTAAAACTCGGTTTTAACGCGCTGAGCTTCTCACCTTCCCCGAGTCTCCTCCTCCCTGCAGCGGCCAGACACACGGTGACCGTCCCGGACCTGGCTCATGTTTCCCCGCAGACTCTGATTCACGCAGCGGACAGCTGACGGACCGCGGAGGGCCACTGCGCATGTCCGCTTCTGCACCGACTCCTGACTGACCAACTTCATCAGGCTGCTCAGATTCAAACAACCAGTTCATTTTTTAATTTCATTCTTCTAGTTTCCAAATTTAGGGTCGGGGGGCCAAGAGTGGCTCATGAAATTCTAAATGTGGGCCCTAAAAATGAGCAGAACTAAAATATAATTTTAGAGAGGATTCATGGCATAAAATCAACACAACTGTTGCAAAAAATAAACTCAGTTTCCAGGAGTGGTGAGAAATAATCAGAATAATGTGTCATATACTCTTTATAGCATGAACTAAAAATAGATCACTTTAACAAAGAAAGCCAGAAAACTAAATTTACCAATGATAAGATCACAATTATTGTGCAAAATTATATCATAAAAAAATTAAAAACATTTTCCCCATCAAAGAGAGAATTATACTCAAAACTTTCCAACTTCCTTACAAAAACAAACCACTAAGCAACATTTCTTATCAACAGCACGATAAACCAGCCATTCACGGAGTCGGTCAGTTCTTCATCTTTCTGTGCAACAAAACACTGTTGCATAAACAGGATGACACATTTGAAAAAACCACATCATCCCAGCGCAAAAACATTTATCAAAAAAACACGAGGAGTTTTATTCTCCTAAACTGCCATGTTTCCATTCAGCAACTTTATTTTCATGATTTCAATTTGTGCAGTTTTATGGTTAATGGAAACACAGCTATTGTCCAAAAAACGACAAGACAAACCATCCTCCTCCAAACACTTCCTGTTATCTCCATCGTTTCTGCCAGTAGTAACATTCGGCTGTTGATCATGTGACTTATGAGACACAAAAAAACAAAACAAAAAAATCTAAATATATCTATTTCTTTAGGCTGGTAAAACCTTTTCAACCGAACACAGAAACAAGATAACTAAATGAATTTATTTTAATTATTTTAATTTATGGAAACATCCCACCTGGGTAAATTCAGATGTAAGGTTTATAAAAACATGTAAATCAATCAGCCTCTCACCTGCCGCCAGCCTCCACTTCCTGCGGAGCCTCGCTGGTTTCCGGTCTCCCGGCCTGTGGGTCGCCGTGGCCGCGCGCTCTTTCACAAATCGGGTCCATTGGAACATAAACGTCCTGCTTTGAAGACATGTTGAAATGCTGAGGAACGCGGTCATCTGACGAGCAGCCGGCAGGTGCTGGGGTCAAAGGTGAGACCCGGCAGGGCGCCAGGGCCTGCTCCGGGTCGGTGAGGCTGGACAGAGCACCGAGCAGCGGGGAGTCTCGGACCTGCTCCCCCGGGTTCACCGCAGCCTTCAGGCCCCGCAGGCTCTCGCGCTTGTCGCCGCGGGGAATCGTCCCCACGTGGGTGTACATGTCGCTGGAGCGGGCGTAGCCGGGGCTGCGGAGGCCGGACTGCATGTCGTCCACTGACTGCGTCTCCTCCAGCACTGCGGCTGCCGCCGTCGGCTGCCTGGCTCCGCAGAGACTCCCATCAGACTGACAGGCTGCTTTGTTGCTGCTTTTCTCTGGGCAGCGGCGGGAGGAGAGGCTGCTGAGGCTCCCCAACCATTTAAAACCTGCAGAGGACGTTCAAAGTTTTATTGGCATTTCTCTGCATTCACACACCAGACACACTTCTGATTCATTCTGACACTTTATGGTCGTCAGACAACCTGAAGTTAAAACAGGTTAAATAACTATACGAGGTGCATTTAATAAAAATGCATTAAGCTGCTTTTTAAAGTATTTAACAAAGACAAGGATTCAGCAAGTACCATTACGAATCTAAAAACAGCATCATTAACACAGCAGAACAGGGAGATTCCAGTGGAAACCTGAGACATGGCAGCATTCACTGTCTGTGTTTAGATGGGCGGACAGCAGCTACCAATCAATCAGTTGATATATTTCAGCAACAAGGCAGTTCAAAGAGTTTTACATCATAAAAACACAAAAAAATATAGTCAAAAATACATCATATTGTCACCAATTAAGAAACCAGTAACATGCTTTGCCAGGTCATCAAAATCATCAAGACACAAAAAATATGTCGGGCAATGTTCCATTTTTATTGTTTAACTCTAAACATCTGGGCTTTTAGCCTGGATTTAAAGGAACTCAGTGTTTCTGCAGTTTTCTGGGAGTTTCTTCCAGATCTGTGGTGCATAGAAGCTGAAAGCTGCGTCTACCTGAAAGATCTAAGTTGAGTTTTGTCCTGATTCCAAACATTGTTGGAAAGCAGCAGCTGCGTTTGCATCACTGATAGCATTTATATTTTCAACAGATGCACTAAAATCATTATGATATCATGTTTTAAAGCCTATTGTGGAATCGTCCAATCAGTGATGTCTTGGTTTCTCACTGGGAGCTAACGCTACCGTTGTGCTAATGTTGTGTTTTTAAATTTGTCGTTGTGTTTAGTGATTTATCGATGTCTTTATATTCATGATAGGATTTATTCAGATTGTAACAAACAGCGGTGAAGCAAGCAGGAAGTAAAATAAAGTGATCCAGATGCATTTCTGAGGCGAAGCGTGTTTTAGCTGCTGATGACCTGCTGCTTCCCTCCTGCTGCTCTCTGAACCGTCAGCCTCTTAATGACTCGTATAACTGGAGACCTTCAGTCTGTTCCCTGTCACACTTTCTATAAAAACATGAAGAATCCGAGTTCAGCAACCAGAAACAACACGCCCACAGAAAAACGTGCATTATAAAGTTCATAGCTGCGTTTTGGAGTGACTTGTTTTAACGTAACAACTGTTTGACATGCAGGAAATGACTGGCAAGGAAGAACGTTTGGTAAAAAGGGAAACAAAACATCTGTGTGCTTTTATCAGGACTGTAGAGATGACAAACCTTTAATACTTTCATATTTCCTCAGTTTAAATTCCTCTGAATCTTTTGATCCGCTGGTGAAATGAGGTGAAGCCAGATGTTATAAAAAAAGAGAAATTTAATCTTCCCTCTGATATTTTACTTTCATCTGATGTTTTCATGTCGGGGTCGTCTGAGGAACATTCAAATATAAAAACTCTCAGCAGTTAGGCTCTAAAAGGCTGACAGATATTTATCTGCTCCATGCAACACTGCAGAAAAACTCCTGACTTAACTCACTAACTGGATGTCGGCTGGGCGCTGCAGATAAACCGTTTTCCTCTGAAGTTAGGATGATTGTGAAACATGTTTGCTGGTGAAGTCAGAAGGTCACAGATATTATCTGAAAATATTACCGAAACATGAAAAAGAGTCACTGATTCTATTTTTATGACTTTCGAAACCTGCAGTGGAGGAAAAGTTCATCACTTTAACTGATAGAATAAAAAATAGAAACAACAGGTCCAGGTCATAACTTTATGCTCTCAGTCAATATGAAACTGTAACAAACCACCAAACTGTGTCACTCATTACTGTTTGCAAAGGTACACAATTAAAAGCTAGCAGCAATAATTTGGGTTATTTGGTCAAAATACAAAAAAATGGAGGTAAATTTTTCAAAATCATATTTTCACCATGTTTTTCATTCACAACTTCATACTAAATATTTAATCAGCAAGCTAAATATTTCATAGTTTAGATGGCAAGCTAGCAACATATTCAGATAATAAGCTAAATATTTAGCTTCACAATTTAGCTCTGAGTTAAATATTTAGCTATAAGCTAAACACTTATTATACCAACTGAATATTAATTTTTCACACTAATATTTAACTTTCTAGCTAAATATTCAATTTGAAGCTAACAAGCTTCAGCAATGTTTCGCTTGAGCCAAACATTTAGTAAGTAAAATGTTTAGCTTCAAATAAAATATATAGCCAGAAAGTTAAATATTTCGTTTCCAAACCAAATGATGGAAACAGTTACTGACTTGACTTCCTGGCTAACGCGACGCGGTTTGTTCTGTTCAAGGATTTATGGGTCATGATGCTGATTGGGGAAACTTGATGATGAAACTTCAACAACTTTAAGCTTCAGGCTGTGAGGCTAACTCACAGTGAAGCGTTGTCCCATCCAGACATAAACTGTCTTCTCTTTGCTCAGCTGAGACTCAGTCCCTTCGAAACGCACAAAGAAGACCGTGTGCTTCTGTCACAATGGTCCGAAAAGATGTTTGTAAGAGGAACAGCAGACAAAGAAACTGTAGATACAGCAGACAAATGTCGATTCATCACATTCTGACAGGATTACATGAGTCCTCACATCAGCCCCGTTCCTCCAACCCATCAGATACGACGCCTCTGTTCCTGTACGTGACTGTCTGACTGAATGAGGTCAAGAGCTGCCATTAAATGGGTCTGGACTGGGGTGTTACTGGGATCATACTGCTAGAAATATAAGTATTGTATAAAAACATCTGATGGAAATATTTAAATTAAATTAATGCACCGGTTTACCAGACAGACAAAGTTCACTTTAAAAATGTAAAAGTAAAAACTGTTTGATTTTCTTTTTAATTTTCACAGGATGTTAAGTTTGTTTTAAATAAACTCAATTATTCAAGGCTCAATGAGAAAAAACAAAAATATTCCTACTATTAAATGGTAAAAGACAAAAATATTTACAGCAGATTTTTACTTTCGTTCAGATTATGAAACATTAGGAAGAGTTAATTAATTCTGTTTTCACAAACATCAAGTCCTGAAGGATCATTTGAGCTGATGTGAAAAAGTTCTTCACATCAGCTCTTCACATTTATTTCATTGAATTTTATCATCAAACACAGAAAAATACAGAATTATTATTTAGGCCACCAACATGACAGCAGTTCTGGATAAAGCGTAAATGTTTTCATTATGAGTTGAGCATAACTGCATCAAGCAACAGAAAACATGTTTCTCCTCATTTTACATTTTTGAAGTGTCACTTTGTGTAAAACGTTTTCCGAACCAAGAACAGGAGGAACCTTACCCTTTTTTATTTTGCTCATGGCGTCGGGTTGAGGACCCGTGTGAGGAAAGGTGTGTCAGGAATCCGCCGTCTTCCACTTGCTCTGCAGTTTGATGCTGAGCCTCACGCGCTTCACTCCACAGAGAGAATCGACTTCCTGTCTTCAACGCAGCGGAAACCTTGAAATTCACTCTGGGTTTCACAGCTTGTTGATGTAATCAGAGAAAAAAAGTCACCAACTTTATTCTGTGTGTGTGTGTGTGTGCGTGTGTGTGTGTGTGTGTGTGTGTGTGTGTGTGTGTGTGTGTGTGTGTGTGTGTGTGTGTGTGGTGTGTGTGGGTGTGTGTGTGTGTGTGTGTGTGTGTGTGTGTACATGCTACTAAAACAGAAATCTGCTGTGATGTACACACAGATTTTACAAACAGAAATGAAGTCATGGAAGGAGTCAGACTTTTTCTGTAGTCTCATGTCTAATGAAATCATCTCAGCTTGAGCTCATGTGAAATGAACAAACTGTTTCCATTGATAAAACAAAGATGAAGTCAAAAATAGAAAATGGTTGAAGAAGCTCAGAGCTTCCTTGTTGCACTGATCAGTCTTAGGTGAATGTAATGATCATCAGAGTGAAACTGTTGTGGTTTCTGGGAGCTTGAAGTTTGATTTTGTGTTTGGATCATTTCTTTGTCGCTGTGTTTCTGGATCCGACCGTTTCAGGTTGTTCTTTGTGTTTCAGGGTTTTTCTATTTGGTGTCTGGTAACTTGGTTAGATGGAGACCAGTGTAGTGAAAATGTTGCATTTCCAGCTGCTGTGGTTTTCTCTCTCACTAAACTAAGCGAAACAAACTAAACCTTTAGAGCAACCTGTTCCCCTCCTCGCCTGTGGGGGCGCTGCACCAAGAACAAAACTAGAGTGTTGTCAGATTTTAGGAGGATTTATGTTTGGAGACATTTCTTTAGCTGGCACTGGGTTACCCAGAACTGAAGCTACTTCCTGCATTTGAACCAGACCTGAGTTTAGTTTTTAATTTCCTCCTGTGGTTCCCACTCAGTGTTCAGAGAGTTGTTGGTTCTTCTTCTCCACAGCTTCTTTCCATAATTCCTTGTTCTGAGTCGCCTAGAGTTCTGTAAGTTTTGTTATTTTCATTAAACATGTATTCAACGAGGCTCTTAAACATCACCAGGCCTGGCAGAAACACCTTTAGAGGTCTGGACTGGTTGTTGGTCCAGTGTGTGTCGGCCCAATGCAAAGGCAGAAAGACGCAAGCAATGACCTCAGAGTATTTCTAGACCAACTGAAGTCCTTCATTCTGCAGAGACGAAGAGTAAAGAGAAAAATCAGCTGCCATTCCTTCCAGGAATCAACATCCCAGCTTATTTATCCCAAAGTCCAAGTGTCCAAAGGTTAAAGTTCATGTCTGGATGGATAACAAGACGATTTTCTCTGGTTTAATCAGAGATGAAGAAAAAGGGAATTTTCTTGACTTCCTGCTGCAGGTGAACAAACGGCTCCTTCCTGTGGTGCAATTTCAAACTTCACATCAGAATCTGACAGATACTCAGTGACGCAGTTTATTTGTTCATTTGGAGATTTAAAAACTGAAACTTCAGTGAATGAAGCTCCAATAGAAACAACAGATCTGATCATCTAATACCTCTGAGAGTTATTCCTGCTGAAGGTGGTTCACAAACATGCACATTTTACCAGATATTTAAGTTTCAATCAGGGTTCATCTGGTCATCTGGATAGATTTCTTCCTTTACTTTTTATTTTTCTCAGGGTATTTTTGTTTGATATTAAATTTGATGATGGTCTGGAGCATTTAATTTTGCCATTGAAGCAGAAAAACAGGAACTATGGGGCGGTTCTGTGAAAGGGACACATCTCCCTCCCTATTCTCCAGAACTGGACACTTCAGTCTGTCTCACTTCTTCCAGACTCACTTTTCAGTTGCAGATGTAAAAGTCCAACCACTGACTGGTTTGTAACCGTCAGCCTGTTGCTTCCCCAGAAACAAAAGCAGAGCATTCAGATTCTTTAAAACTTGCTGAAACAGAACCGTCAGATTTGAAGAAACGCTCCTGCCCCGTTTCACACTGACTGGTTTGTTACTGGTTTTCCTGCTGACTCTGTTCTGTGTTCAGCCACCAGCAGCTGCAGCGACGCCTGAAAGGCGTCAGAGAAAAACTGAAGGCTGTTACTGAACATTGCACAAACTCTGAGCAGCTTCCCGGCATCCAGGAAACGTTTTCAGCTTGAAGAGTCAAAGTGTCGAGTCAGGATGAGAAAAGGCACTGAAAATGGATTTACACTTTTATTCAGGTTTTGATTGAGAGTTACAGACACAACAGTGTTGTTCAAATTTACTCTTGTTGTCTTATCATTTTGTTCCCATAATTTTATTTTATTTTTCTTTACTCTGGTCCTAAAACTCAGCTGTAAAAAATAGTTCAGAATTTAATAGTAGAATAAAAAGGGTCCAAAAACATACAGTCTGAGATACAATGGGATAACTCAGATAAAACAAGTTTATGTGTTAGATTGGTCTAGTCAAAGCACATTAACCCAGATGTTCCTCATCCAGTCTCACGGAGCTGCAGCTGTTTAATAAACTCATCATGATATTCATCCTCAAAAGTTTCATGATTTTATCTGAAAACTCTTTTTTCTACTGCAATAAAATCTGAAATGTTTAAGTTTTTTTTGTTGTCAGTTTTCGCTGCTGGGCTGATCTTCTCATTGCGGCCACCAGATGGCAGCAGAAGCCATCTTAAAGAAGAGCCTGATGAACGTCACACATCAACATCCTGAACTCTCATCTGAACTGATGTCAGACAAACAGGTCAATAAGCATCTGGAGACGGCCTAGTCCAAACATTTATGGACAAAGTCAGGCTAGTTTCTGGAAACAAACAAATCAAAGCGGGTTGGATTTTAGCCTTGATTTAAAGGAATTCAGTGTTTCGGCTGTTTTGCAGTTTTCTGGATCAGGTTGATCGTTTAGTCAGATTTCTGAAGACCTGCTGCAATAATTAATGTGACTAAAGATAAATACATGAGTTTCTCTAATGCTGAGACATTCGTCCTCTGATCCTGGAAATGTTCTTCAGCTGATAGAAGGCCGACTTTAGAACCGTCTTTATGTGGAAGATGCAGGTCAGAGGTCATCCTGATGTCTAGTTTCCAGATGTAATAACTGAAGCTGAGTCGACTCTGGATCTTTAAATTCAAACTATCGTGACATAAATGTCTACAAAGACAGAATATCACTTTTTACTATTATTATTGTAAAATGATCCAGTTTACAGGATTCGGATCTTTTCCATTAACTTTCTCTCATGTTGGGGTGAATATCTGGTAAACCATGAAGACTCTGTTTCTGTCTGTTCAAGCTTTGGGACTCTAGTAATAAATGTTCTGACAGGAAGTTCAGTTCATCAAGGAAAATGTAATAATTTCAGCTCAAACAAAATCCCAATGATTGATTAGTTCATATAATGACACATGCTAATGCTAGCAGAACTGGACTGGTTCCGAATCACTATAAAGACAATGAATTCTAGATGTTTGAGGAAGAGTTTGATTTCTGAAACGAGCTGGACCCGGTTCTGTTTACATCAGTCAGACTGAACCAGGATCAGTTCCGTTTCTGCATAAACAATAATCTCCTCTTATGTCTTCAGACAGGAGCTGACCGGGTTCTGGGATCAGAACCTTTCTAAAGTCCATAGACGTGGACAGGTTCTGATCCCGGCTCAGTTTTAATAATGCAAAGTAAATTTCAGCTGCAGAGCAGAAACCAGGCTGAATCACAGGAGCGTCTCCATCTGCCTGAGACGCCAAACCGTCAAAGTTTCTTCACCACAACGAGACGGGAAGAACAGGAGGACATCTGGTTGATCAAATTAAAATGGAGTCTCTGTCAGCAGCTCCATCTGGCTCAGTCAGCTACAGTTCATTTATGACGCTTTATACTTTTACTCTCCAGAGTTTTAATCAAGAAACGCCAAATCGCTGCACGTTAATTAAACACACATCACTTCCTGGGGCAGAAAGTTGCAGGCTGGGATGATCGTCAATCAGTGGAAAGTGAAATCTGCGTTCTGGAAAACAGCTGGTCTGTCCCAGGAATGTGATTTATGGCGAATCACAGGAGAATAAAACTCTGCTGAGGATCTGCTGAGGGAACCTGCAGGTCCCCGGGAACAAACTGCAAGTTATTAAAGCAACCAATAAATTACACAAAATAAATTGAAAACTGTTGGTTTCATAAAAGCTTTTAAAAAAAACAAAATTACCCATTAAGTGGCAGTAAGTTATATGCTTGTTGCCTAACATTACTTTTATTTAGTTGTAAAAATGGTCACTGATCATGCACATCATTTTGTGTGCATGATGATGCAAACCAAACTTTTATTTTATGGTGAACCTTTTGAAGAAAGAAGATGGCGATGGTTCCATCCGTCTGTCTGCAGATTTACAGCAAACTGTTTGTATAAGTACCTGAACATACTTATCCTGGAAGTAAAGTTAGGAATATAGAATCAAATATTGAATGATGGAGAATCATGTGTTTAATCATTAGTAACCATGAAGCCTAGCATGTCTGATAATAACTGGCTGGCATCCAGACATCAGCTGACTGGTGAAGCTATAAGAGTTTATTTTTTTGTAGAAAGTCATTTCCTGTCATAAACCCAGACTGGATGCGTGATGCTGACAGATCAGACCAGCTGCAGCAGGAACTGGTTCTTCAGCCTGTTGGGATTTTTCTGACATTTATTTCATGTTTAACGCTCAGAATCGACCCGCTGAGCTCAACTCCTCTTCCTCCTCCTCTCTGCTTTCATAGCTGCATCGTTTTCAGAGCTTCGTGTCAGAGCAGAGGTTCAGCATCCAACATCTCCTTTGTTGTTTTCTGAAACCATCAGTCTCACATCTTTTCAGGCCGTAAAAAATCCAATTTATTTTTTTCCCAAATTCACCTTTTTTGTTTAAATTTTACTGACTTCCATGTTTTTCATTTTGATCATATTTATTAACCAAAACTGTGTAAGTATGATATAAAAAACGAGCATCTCAACAGCCAGTC